TCTCCTTGCTGAGAAAAATGTCTCCTTCTGTAGTGAAAATAATGCATTAGTACTTTATTGGCAAGTGATACAAAATGACATCATCTTTGGTTGTGCAGCTCTTAAAATACAGATAGACAATATCTAAAAACTATTGAGTATTAGGAATTTTGAAAAAAACATTTCATTTAGGTTTCCCTAGAATAATCACTACCCTAAAGGTCCACATAGACATAAATGTGTTAGGGAAGACCCTAGACTAAGCTATATTGCTGTAGGGCCAAAAAAATGTGAGAAAAAATTTGGTTTGTTAAAAGAGTTAGGGTAATAACACCTTTGCTGTTTAGTGAAACTGACTGCTTCCTTCTCTCACACATATCCAAACAATTATTTTCTAAAACTGAGAGCCTAAAAAGATTAAGTGCTTTTTAAGCCTCAGTTCAAGTCAACAGAATGCACTCAATGAATTATTTTCTAAAGAACAAAAAAAAGTCCACTTTTTATGTGCCTTGTCCCTCTGCCTCAACAAAACTTACATGGCTTTTCTTAGATCTGTTTGCTCTCTGCTAACTTTCCTACTGCATCAAAAGTTATCCTGGTGGTAAAAAATGCATCATCTCTCTAGAGGATTGTTGCTTCCCTTTCCTGTTCTCATGTACTCTTGTACATGCAGGGGTCACCCAAATCCAGAACTCTTAGAATCTTCATGTTAAATGTATGCAGTATGTAACAAGAAAGCTGTAGGGTCAGCATATAGGAGTTAGATCATGCATCTTATACTGAAAGAAAGCCTAGTTGATAGCCAAGGCAAACTGGAGAGTCACCATAATGGATATTGTGTGGAGGTGGCAATGGATGAAATTAATTGGAAGCATACAGCTCTCTCATTCCTCTTTCTGAAAGCACGGTGTTTTATTTACAATATCTATGCAAACTAATTCTGAAAGAAGAATTGTTTGGAATGACCCAGAATGGAACCAGATGAGATTTACCCAGTGAGTCCTCCATGTCTTTTGAAATAAGTATTTGAAAGTGACTTTGTCTTGAACCTCTCTACTTCGAAAGTCATAGTCCCCATATGCAGCTACAGATTGAACTACAGCTGCAGTTCTGTCTCCTAAAAGAATGGCCCTGTAGAAAGTGGGAAGAGTGAAAGACAAGCTAGAAGATGGCATGGCCATAGAAGCTTTCTGGAACCTTCCTGTAAAGTACAACTGTCCTGAGGTCTAATATGATTATATATAATTGTTGCCAAATTAATAATAAGAACAAATAAAAATCCCAGGTCTTATTACTTAATGTATTCTATTAAAAAATAGGCAAACAATACCTCAAAACTACAACAAAACCAAACAAAATAAATGTACAATAATGACAAAATGACAATAATAAAAAATGTACAAAGTGTTTTCTAAAGCAAACATTATATGGAAAAATGTACTTCTCACTTCTTATGATGTTAAATTAAATAGCTGGAACCACAGGTATTTTGTAGTCATGTTTGGTAGTAACAGAGCTATGAATATAATACAGGACATTCAAAAATTTTGCTTATAGTTTCAAAGCACTGATGCCTCTGCATTAATGACTTTGAAGATCACTGTATAGAAGAATTATATCATGTGAAACTGGAATATAGGTGACATGAAAACTGCATCAAAATTCTCAATCTTTTCAGCAAAGTATTTCTTTTTCTTTTTTGAATTGTTCTCTTGTATTGTACTTTTAAGTTATCTTAGATCTCCTCTAAAATGCATATAAAAGTGTTGAAAAAAGCTCTTTAGAGTGCTTTACACTGAATTGATTGTTCTATAGTGCCAAAGATAAACTAAATCTTGAGCTGTATCACCTTCCTGGGGTTAAGTAGGTAGAAAATGGTACATTACTAATTTGAGCATGGGCCAGCACTGTTTTTAAATTCTTAGTAGAACAAAGTTTTAATGAAAGATACAAAGAAGTTTGCAGTTCCAGAGCCTTAACCTTGGAATAACAAAGGTCCTCACTAATCACTTTACTAATCCATGCAGTAGCAGTTTTCTTACCAAGGCATCGTTCCAAAAAGTGGTTTCTGTTCAGCATTTCACTCCAGGTCACCAACCACTGTAGTGCAATCCATGTGGAGATTTATGGACCTCAAAGTGGAACTCCTTAAAGAACAATGTGTTGTTAATCAGCAAGCTACTGAGTGAGCAAATGGGAAATGCTGAAGCTACACAATTTCTTCTTTCCCTGGGATGTGAAAGCCTTGCTCAGTGCATCTTCAAGGATTTACTGGCTTCTCCCCTGAAGGTCTCTTTTTGTTTTTTCAAAGTAGTGCTGGTTAGTTATTTGGGATAGGGCTGGATGCAGATACAAGGTGAAGGGAAGGCTCTGCAGCCCTGCAGTTTGAGACCACTGCAGTGTTCTGATGGTCACAGCTCCAACCCCATGAGACAGCGCTGTGCTGCTCTCAGCAGCTGAGATATGGAATCTTTCTCTGCTTGAAGAGATTTACTTGTACAACTCTAAGGTTCAAAAAACTGCTCTGACTGATGAGCTGCTGGATATGCCAGTGTCTTCTGCTTTTCTCTCATCCAGCATCCATCCTAAAATATGCCAGAAAAGGTGGAACAGCCTTTACATGGAGAATGTGAGAGTGTCAGCCATAACAGAAAGGCCAGCTAGAAACAGAATCACTTAAGAAAGACAAAGGCATGGCATCTTTGTATCACATAACCTCAGTTCTTTTGTAACGTGGTTTTCATCATTTCAGCCTAGACCATAAGATTCCGGCTACGTAGTGAAACCCGCACAGTTCCTCTGTAGCACACAGGAGACTTATGCACCCTGAAGTAGGTATTAGAGAAAGAAAAGAGGAAGGAAAAAACCTTCAAAATCAAAGACAAGTTAGATTCTTTCTTGCACAGGCCACTGCTACTCTGTAGGGAAGATGGATGCTTCTTCCAGTCAAGTTTGAAAGAGCATTGAAAGCCACAGCTGTCAGATGTGTGTGTTGGACAGAGGTATGGCTTGTTCAATAAACCCCAGCCACTGGGACTGAGGAATACCAGCCTTGTAGATCCAGAAAGAGCCTGAATGTGAGATACATTTTACCTTGGCCTGTTCACAGTGTCAGCATTGTTTATTCCTGAGTGTGCAGAGAAGTAGGGCTTTAAATGTTTGGGGAGATCCACCAAAAATCTCAGGCTTGTTTTGGTGTCTCTGGATTTAAGTAGCAGCAGAATAAGGATAAAACATATTTCAAAATAATGTAGCTAATCTGATTTAGATACCCTAGTTCTGTTTTTCTAATCCAGACCAAGGTTCCAGATTCCATTTCTGTCTGAAAAGAGAGGAGTGCACTCTAATTGCCTGAGATAACCAAACAGTGTAAGTGAAATAATGTGTAAGAAATAGGCAGCTTTTTATCCAGCTGAAAAATTCAAAACTGAGCATGAATACTTCCCTGCTGAAATAGGAAAAGATTATGCAGCTGTGCTAAGTCATGCCCAAGATAACAATTTTCTGCATGTATTTGGGAAGTGAATACTGTCAGTGATATGCCTAACATAGGGAAAAAATGTTAGTGATGTAAATTGTGATGATGATGGTGATGACAGTGGACTTACCTCCAAACTCAAGATAACATGGAATTAGGACAGGTACAAAGAAGATATAAGATAGAAAAATGCATATTTAACAATTCAAAGCATATTTAACATTGTCTTCAGCTATTTACAATTTAATCCACTTTTAATAAGCAAGAAAGTGCTTTAAATTTTACTGATATTCTTTTCACTTGTACAGTATTAAATATATCATATGTGTGTGTTACTATAATATGATATCTATATCAATTATGTTCCTGATACACAGTTGAGAAGTATGTAAGGGGTGTTTAAGTCTGCGTTCTGTAACAGAAAGATGAAATTCAGTGGACATAATAGAGCTAAAAAACCTGTGGAATCTTGCTGTGTAAGTTCAAATACCTTGAGTGATGAGGAAAAAATTTTTCTTTCTGTAAATCTATCTTGCCTTTCTAATGGAAGAGACATTTTGACCTACTGAAGTATATTTCTTGTGTGCCTACTACAAGTAGTCCCAGGGAAACTGCACCTGTTTTTTAATTCTGTGTGCTTCCAAAAGTGCCAAGACACTTTCTCAGAGTATGCATTTCTCTGTAATTAGATAATGGAAAGCAAGATATGGAAGAGAAGAATTGAAGTTACAGGCCCATCAGATAGTAATGAGCAATTTATCAACCAGTACATTTTACCTCATTTCATAGAATCATAGAATATGCTGAGCTGGAAGGGACCCATCAAGATAATCAAGTCCAATCCCTGGCTCTGCACAGGAAACCACAAGAGTCACCATGTGCCTGAGACTGTTGTCCAAATGCCTCTTGGCAGGCTGGTGCTGTGACCACTTCCCTGGAGAGCCTGCCCAACCACCCTCTTGCTGAAAAACTTTCCTGCTATCCAACCTAAACCTCCCTGACTTAGCTTCATGCCGTTCTCTTGAATTCTGTCACTGGCCATCAGACAGAAGAGATCAGTACCTGCCTGCTGCTTTCCTTCATGAGGAACATTTGACATGTTTTACTGCTCTCCACAGTAAATACTGAGGAAATATGTAAATACACACAAGAGCAAACACACACTGACATTAAGTTTATACTGACATTTGTTTGAAGTCTCACCCTTCAGTAGGATTATAAACTGAAGTGAGAAATGTGGTTAAATTCAGGTAGGAATAAAGTCACGGTTATGATCATATGTATGCATTTTGCACGTGTAAAAATCTGGCATGAGAAGAGTGAGATTGTTTGCCGAAAAGAATGAAGTTTTCTTGCTTAAAGGGGCAAATTTACAGATTCTAATGGTCCCTCACATGCTGTGTGTCTGATAAGCATTCAGCTTATATTTCCAGGAACAATAAGATTTCATGTACTGCTGCTCAACATAGGAATTATTTTTACATATCTCCATGCCACTGACTCTCTTGTAAGTTAATCTCATCTCTCATCAATTTTTCACCAGCTTCACTCTGATGTTGATAAAGGAGATGGTTCCATCAAATACATCTTGTCAGGCGAAGGGGCAAGTTCCATTTTCATTATTGATGAGAACACGGGGGATATTCATGCTACAAAGAGGCTGGATCGAGAAGAGCAGGCCTACTACACGCTCCGAGCACAAGCACTAGATAGGCTGACTAATAAACCCGTGGAGCCAGAGTCTGAGTTCGTCATTAAGATTCAGGACATCAATGACAATGAGCCAAAATTTCTGGATGGTCCCTACACTGCTGGAGTTCCTGAGATGTCTCCTGTGGGTAAGTGCAAAATACACCGTTGGTGTTGTGGGAAATTTGTTCCTATTGCCTTTTTAAAAGTTTCATTATTTTTTACTGTTTCACACTCAGCTACTTAATTATCTATGAGACACCTGCAACAGTTAGATATTTCAGGATTTAACTGGAAATAACATGCTAGATTAAGTATTTACCCTTTCAAAAATGTTGTGAAACTCAAATAGCTATGCAAGGATTCAGATAACCATTTTATGGCGCATTTCTTATTCCAGGGCCCAGAGGCTTTGTTTTATAATTCCCATTAAGAGTAATAAGTTTCACACCTATGTTATGGTACTCAGAGGTTATAATTTATGATTTCATTCAGATAAGGTCTGTTCATAACAAACTCTTCAAATTCCTGCTAATGAATAGTATAATTTTTTGTAAGTTTTGCACAATTTAGTAATAGTTTATTGGATATTTTTCCATACACTGAAATCCCAGTTTCTGGAGAATATAGGCAAGCAACAGGAAATGGGGTACAACTTGAAATAGTTCAAAGTTCTACTGAAATCAGAAAAGAATGGGTTTTAGATGCTTCAGACCCTTTTTTGGAAACTAAGAAATTCTGATTTTTCCTGAGCTTGAATTAGGGAAGAATTTCAAAATTAAATCCATTATCTTGTCATTCTAAAGTGACCAAATGCTCATCCATTGCCAGGTGCCACTGTTCCTTTGGAAGCTCTTTTAGACCAGATTAAAGCTTGGCCCAGAAATGTTTTGGTAAATGTTACGTTTAGGTGAAATTATAAATGCAAGCACAAAAACAAGAACAAAAACAAAAACAAGGAAAAAACAACAAAAACACACACACACACACAAATACCAAACACAAAAAACTCCAAACAAAACAAAAAAAAACAACTTACTTTACTACAATTATATACATGGGAAGGCTCACTTCAGCTTGAGAGAGTTCTGTGGTGATTGAAATAAAGATTTTCTTTGCTTGACTGATTTTAAACCATATTAAAATGTGGTAGTCTTACAGTAAGGCTACTATAAAATTTGCTATAGTTTCTTCAGTATGATCTCCTGTGTTTTTGACTGTTAAGCAATGCATCTAAATTAGAACTAGAGAGAGAAAAAGAATCTTCCCTACCTAAGTGCCTGCAGCAATCAGCAGCAAACATTGCTTATATATTTGAAACTCAGCTTAAGAGTCAATATAAGATAAGTAAAACATTGCTAATGAGTTTTCCATACATTTATTTTACTAAGCAGTAAGCATAGGCACTATTTCTCATTGATACTTGGCATTTGCTCATTGTCACTCGAGTACTGTGTGGATGGTTGAAGAAGCAAGATTAGCCTTGGAAGAAAGACAGACGCCAAACCTTTTTCAGAGTAACAGGGAGGAGATTAAGTTGTGGTATATTGCTGGAAGCTTTTTAAGCCTGGACCCTGAAAAAAATCTAGAGAACAGATAATCTAAGACCATAAAACCTAAATAATCCACTTCAAAAATATGTTGTGTTAAAAAACATCTTTTTTATCATAAGTTGCCCTTTTATTTTAGAATAAGATTATTTAAGTAAGATGCAGCATGCAACAGCTATTAGATTTTTTTTTTCACTTTTGTCTTATAGCCTGAAAAGAAATTATCTCCATATTTCACTCTTGCATTTATCACCTCTGTCTTTTATTGCACTGACATATTGACGTACAGACAACTACTACAGATATATAAGGTTCACCTACACGTACAAATCCGTACCACTACTCCTACCTATGCTCCATTTGGTCCACAAATATATTGGAAATCAATCCATGGGGAGTGCACTGTGTGCAGAAGAGAATATAAGGAGTATTTTTCAAAATGAATTGCTTTGCATATTTTCTTGAATCTTTACATCATAAAGGAGTAAAAGAAATTCTCTCCCATATGGACCACACAACACCAAATGTATTTTCAATTCAGGTGAAGTATTATGCAAAATTATTAACTGAGATTTGTGCACTCACTGAGATTTGTGTCAACTAAGGGTGGTTTCAAATTCATGAACTTCCTGAAACTTCACCTTTTAAACATCATGCTTAGTATCACACACCTACCAAATTGTTAGAGTTCCATTGTTACAGAGTTAAGGATTACTATGTAATTCCTTTGTCACACTTTGTCACACTTTGTAACATTTTGTCTTACATAGCTACAGCAATTCATACTTTATTCATAAAACATAATTTTTAATTAATCACCTAGAGCATCCATGAAATATTAAGGAGACAGAAAGTATCTCTCTCCTATTTTGTTTAAAATTATATCCATGACAGGGATTTTTAATTGGATATTAAAGGAAATGAAAGAAATCACAAGATTATAAACCCAAATTAACTGTAAAGCTAGGAAAACTATAACCTTTAACCTACAGGCTGGTTATGCAAGTATAATGGTTCTGTATTTTATTTGACAAATATTTTTGGACATTATCTAAGGCTAATTGAAGTCAATCTCTTCTTTTATCTGAAATGACTTCAGGTCAGGTTCAAATTATATTTGGGTCAGACCCAATTATATTGATTGTCCTGATAGAGTAAATATCTTGATGGCTTGTAAATCTATTCATGGCAAACCCCCCAAAGATATGGCTTATCTGAAAATCATAAGGATTTGTTTTTGTTATATATTTTTAAAGTGTGTCCTGGTACTTGAAAAACTGAGCAGCATTATGTTTCAAACAAAAGGATACTGGTCTGTTTGACTTATAGCCAAGGGAAGTAGGGATGAGAATTCCAGTGCCCAACATAGTTTTGGTTTATTTAATCTTCTCTGCTCTCCAGCCATATCAACAACTTTTCTTGTTACCCAGCACAACAAATACCTCTCTTGCCATGTTTATTACCCTGACTAAGATGTATAGAAATATCTGAATTATATAGCAAAGAGAAAAAGCAAAAGCACTGTATCAGGCTTAAATCTTTGATACAGAGTGTAGTGGGCTTTGAGAGCATGCATGAAGTGTCCCTCTCCAAGCACAAGCCACCTCTACTTCCCTTTGTCTTTGACCTTGCTGCTTAGCTGGAACCATTCTTGAGGTTTTTTCCCAGGTGATGGCAACGTAACTTGGCAGTGGGAGGGGAGGGAGGAGGTGAAGAGGATTCTGACTGTCCCTTTTCATACTACTGGAGAGGAAAGTTTGTGGAGTCACTGCTGCATCAGCTGTGGGTGAGACCTAGTGGTAAAAGCATAGAAATACCCAAGGGCACAGAGCAGAGCCAGTCTGGATTGTTGTATGCAAGGATTATGCAGGACTTCTGGATAACTTGATAGTAAAGGTGTTTAATGTTTTTAGTAGCAGCTGATACCATGTAAAAATGTGGTGCCATCATGTAATTGTTTTGTGTGTTACACATAGTACACATCGTTAATTGATATAAAATAATTACTTTTCATAACTGACTGCCTTAAAACTCCTTTTTAAATTTGTTAATTAGCTAAAATTCAATTGATAAGAGTTTGTGCAGTTTAAAAATTAGCCATTTGTTAATCTAGTTTTAGAAACCAGTTTTCCTTTGAATGATCTCACCAATTAAAACAGAAGGCACAGAATCATTTCTCATAAAACATTATTTCAAAATTTGCATAAAATATACTGCAAGCTACTAGCAATATTTCTAAAAAGCTCTGTAGATGTTTCTAAAATAATACACTTAGAGATTCAAAATGGATCCCTTCAAAGGATCTCCATCCCAAATTTCAGCAACCAGTTTAGCTTTTTCTCTTCCTATCACAGAAAAGGTTAATCTCTGCAGTGTCAGGAACATTGTTGAGCCTTGACTTGGCTATATTTAAGTGCAAATAACATTCTAAATTCAATGTCCTCTCTGCAAATATCTGCCTGTCCTTTTACCCTTGTATCAGTATAAATAGGTCAAGTTCTAAGATTACTGTAATTTAGTAATCTCTACCAATCTCTATTAAATATTATGTTACAAATTATCTTAAAAATTCTGGAAAATAAAACAAGAAATCTGTGGCAGTCGCACAGAATTAAGTCTGTTACTAGCTACTATCAAAAAAAGAACATGGAACACTTTGATAAGCAGCACAGATTTTTTTTCTCAGTACTTGATACAATTGTTGAAAAAATTTATGAAGTTGCTACATGTAGAATTCTTTTAAATGAACTGATATCCAAGCTTTGTTAAAAAGGCATAACTGTAGAAAAAATAATTTTAGAGGAATCCATCTTTAAAAGAGAAAGCTATTTTTAAAATAAATAATGCTTATTAATTTTTTTTTAGCCACCCATACAAAAATACACAAACTGTAAGTAATAATTTAAGTTACAGATGCGAAGCTGCAGTTTGAAATGCACTAATGAAAGTTTGGGGTAGGGTCAAGGCACACTTGCACTCCAGGTCTCTGAATAGTGGTGACTAAACAGCATTTATTGGCATACTCATTTTGTGAGTGGAGTAAAGGTGGAGTAAAGGTGTGTTACCATTTGCTGATGGATGACCCTGTTACCTGTAAATCCTAATCTTGGATGCATAATCTTGGATGACAGCTGACTGTGACTGCTAGAGGGTAAGGCAAAGCATTCAGGGATACAAGGAGGACAATTTCAGTGCAGGAACACAAACTCTTGTACAATGATGTACTTGGAACTACAATGCAGCTACCCATTTTTCCTCACAGGTTTAGGTTTATTTACTCTCCCTAAGTATCCCCACTACCTTATGGTTTGGGTTTTTTAAAGGGGAAGTAAGTATTTTAATTTGACATCAATCCATTGCAGAAGGATTAGGACAGCAGTGCATAGCAATTATCAGACTCTGAAGGAATTCCTGTTCTTCAAGAGCAATCTGCTTCTTCTGGAAAAATCTCTTGAAATCCTCAAATACAGATTTTTCTGTGCATTTTGTTTCCTTGGAACAGATTTCCTACACATAGGACTTTTCACATAGTTAGAATACCTTCTGTTATCTTGCATATTCTTGAAAGAAATGTTGTGCAGAAATCTCCCACTCAGCATTGGGCTTCAGAAGCTCTTTTTTATTTGTGTGTACAATTAGTAAAAAAATAATGACAATAGGATGGGTTTCAGATCTTTCCCCCACTGATGTTTAAAAGAAGTTGATTAGCACAGAGGGACTGGAAAAGTATCATTGTTTTTTAGTTATTGGTTACATTTAAAAGGAATTATCGCAGAAAGATTTGATGTTAGAATTTCTACTTAAGAACCACCCTTTTTTGAGGGATTGATGTATTTTAGGAGAGAGACAATTAGATTCAGATAATGACTTTATTAATTTCCTGGAATGTAGAGGGCTTGTTTGCTGCATCAATAGATTTTTACAGCAAACAAGCACTTCCAAACTTGCAGCATTTCAAAAATGTCTGTGCTGAGATTGCAGAGCTTGTAATTTCTTTGATCTTGTATTGGTCTGGAGCCTTTGAAAGCAGCTAGAGCAGGGGGCAAAGAAATAACTGTGCGTGAGGTTCATAAGCACTTTTGCCAATATTTGCAGACATTGTAAGCTTCATTGGCAGGGCTTAGTGACTTTGTAAATGTGGTAAGCTTGGCTTTCACAAAGAGCGCAGGATGTCAAACAGTCATTATGATACCCTTGTTCTCAAAAGCTGGATAGACTTTGGCAAGTTTAAAATAGGTCCCTGTATGAAATTACATTATAGAGTAATCTGTAAAATCAGTTTGACATACTGAATCAAAGTTCTTAGTTACTGGTGAACAGAAAATGGATGTATTTTAAGTCCTATAACTGATAAATGACTTGATGGATTAACTACCAATTTTCTTGTTAAACTTTCCATCTACTTAATAGTTGCATGTGAAATTTCAGGTTGGGAAGAACCTTTTCCCTGTCCAAAAGTATCAGACAGGTCACAGGAGAGAAAAATTGCATTTAAATAGAACTGCAATCATAATACTTTGTCATGGATACTTCAGGAACAGAGATCAGGAACGTGGCTAACTAGGCCATAACCTGAATAAATTTATCTTATTAATGATCATTTCTGGTCAGAATTCTTTCAAGCAGGACCCATTCTTTGTTCCATTTTATGGAGGACTGCACTTAATCCTGTCTCTAAACTTTCAGCCTAGTCCCAGGCTCCATTCATGTTGTTCTACTTAACTGAGAATGGAAAAGATGAGGAAAATGGATGTGAGACATACTATATAAGATAAAAAGAATTTCAAAACTTTATCCCATTTTCTGAAAATTCCAAGTTAAACTGACCAGAATACAATTTATGTGAAGTTAACCCTGGACACTTGCTATTGCAATTTGTTCTTAAATAATGATTTCAGGACTTTCAAGGCTGGTCTCATTTTCACATGTCAAAAATGTGTCCTTTCAGAAAATGAACACTGTGTTTAACAAGTGTTTTTCTCTAATTGTGTGTCTAAATAAAGTCTTTGAAGCAATCTGGTCTTCTCTTGAAGACCTTTACTGGGCATCTGCCAAATTGTTACAATATTAATTTGCAATCTCACCTCCAAATGGGTCCCTGTGCTGTTCAATGGAAGGTCTGAATGTTCCAGACAATCTGCCAGTGAGAAAAATAATCTTTTCTGTCTATCAACGGGTGGTGACCATGGCCAAGGCCCTGGCTCCCGGGTGTTATTTTATTCTGCTCTCAGCATACACCATGGAAGCTGTCGCATAGAACAAAACAAATGGGAACTGACATGGAGAACATAATGAATAGGAGCTGGAAACAGAAAAAGGTCCTTACAAAATACAACCTTTTTATCAGCCAGTTAGAAATTTTGCTTCCTTATTCCTGTCAATATAGAGATAGTTCTTGCTCAAGGAATCTTTACCACAATAGATTACCACAACTGATGTTGCAGATAGGAAGGATTGAAGGAAATCAGTATTGCAGATTATTGAAGGGAATTACTGCTTTTTAAAGAAATTTAGAGAGCTTTCACCAGGTTTTCTCTGAGCTGGGAAAGAAACTATTCAGCCATCTCTTTATGAAGCAGTAAGTAATTTCATAGGCTAACAATAATTTTGTGTACATTTATCAAAAATTGTAAAACATGTATATGTATGTTTGAATTTCTAATGAGTCACTACAATTTCAGCACACAGACTTTTCTTAAAAGGAAAGCTACTACTACACTACAGAAATTTTGCTGACATATCCTTCACCAAGCAAAGGCAGAGATGGAGAGGAGGAGCTAATGAGTGAGATGGTTTTTACTGCTGTAAGTCATTGTCTGTGACTGTTTGGGAAGATGGAATTTTGTAATAGCTGATACTCCTAGTTTACAAATAGAACCTGATACACTGAACGGAGTCAGGAAATGATGAACAGTTGTGAAAAAGTCACCTCACACTGTTCTAGATATGTACTGGCATAGCATATTCAGTAAGTGTATTTCAGATTTTTCTATCTTTCATGTGCAAAAGTCCCTCAAACATTTTACAGGTACCTCTGTGGTTCAAGTGACAGCCACTGATGCAGATGATCCTACTTATGGCAACAGTGCTCGAGTGGTCTACAGCATATTGCAAGGACAGCCTTACTTCTCTGTGGAGCCAAAAACAGGTAAACTTACATAAACTCTTTGCAGTAATGCTGATAAAAAGAGGAAAATGTGCATTAAAAATTGCTAGGAACTTATATTAATATGACCTCTTGGTTAATTGAATACATTCGGGTTTTGTTGATCTTTTAATCTCTTATTCTTTAGAATAGTTTATGAAAGCCACACATCTGAACTATGTCATAAACAGACTTGGCTGGAATAGAATTTAATGTATTTTCAATCCACCAGCTGCTTGGTCTGCTGCTCATTGTCATCTCTCTTATCAGTGAAAATTTCAAAATACATTGAATATTTTTTTCAGATTTCAGAAATATCTAAGTGTCACACAGCCAGGTTCCATAATAATAGATTTAAGGAATAGTTACTGTCCATTCTACTTTTCAAACTGAAGTTTTGTTGTGGGAAACAAATCCCTTCTTTATTAATTAGAAGAAGAAAGCACTGTGCTTCTTATGCTTATCAGGTATAATATTTTTCTGCCACTCTCAAAGCATATTACTGGTGAAACTTTGTTTTTACAATTTTCTTGAAGTTTTGTGAATATTTTGAAACCACAACAAAATGCAAATTTTAATCCTCTGTTGTTTTAATATATATTGCACATTCTACTGTATCATTTCATAAAGAAGGAAACTAGGTTCCTGCTCTACTCATTTCAGTTTAGTGGTTGAGCCTTCACTTACACCTACAAGAAGAGTTATAACCTTCATTTTGTATATAGCAAAGCTGAGACAAAAGAGGAAAAAAAAAAATTACCCTTTTTATCATAAACAATCTGTGATGTGAATCAGACTTGAGTCCCAATGTTGTGACCAAAAGGTTACACTCTATTTAGCAACATCTTAATTTGCAGAAATAAGTACTATAATTATCTTCATATTGCAACAGATCCATGCTCAGCAGGGATATATAGCACTCTCCTTTTCCCTCTGATGGGTATGATTTATAGTGGTTTTCTCTCTGTTTCTCTTTCTACCTCTCCATGTGTGTTTATGTACCATGTATGTTGTGATAATGACTGCAGGCAGCCCTTGAACAATAATATGGTAGTTTCTGCTAAATGAAAATCTTGAAGAAATCAGACTGGAGTGTTTGCATACATTTTCATCACTTTAATGTGATACTCAAATTTCCTGTGTGCATGACAGTTTTCTTCCAAATGATTGGGTAACTTTGGCTGGTAATTTAACTGTGACAGAAAAACAAGCATGCCAAGAGAAGCAAGGTAGAAACAGTAACACTACTAAATTGTCTATTAATTGTATTTCTACATGTCTTGAAAAATGGGTGAAATAGTGCCAGGCAGTCTGTATGTGAAATAAATGTTTCAACCCAGAGGTGATTAATGGCAGGTCCAACATTCATAAGGGAAAAAAGAAATAAAACTCTAAGCAAACATTCAGCAAATAGCAGATGAAGAGATATGTGTCCCAATGTGCCTTTTCTTTATTTAGTTTGTTTATGTTTCTTTTACTGCTGACACTAAGTGCTGGAGGAGCAAACGGCTGCCTCTCTGGAAATCAGGGTTAGCATCTGTACTATGTACTGAGCATGAAATATTCATAAAATCATCATATTTTGAGAAAGCATATTTATTTTAGGATGTATATCAGCATAGCTGAAAGGATGAAACATGGAATTTTCTTCTAGTTGTCATTTCAGGTCAATTAATTACTACTTAATTAATTATGCAGATCATCAAATAGACATAAAAAAACCTATTTCAGATATTTAAGTATTGCATTAATAAATAAAAAAATATCCCTTAATTATGCCTATATTTAGAAGTGGATATTGGTAAATCCAATATATGGCAAAATACGGTAATTTCATATATCTGCAAAGTGTGGCAGGCTATCAGTATTGGTGAGAGTTAATGTCTTGAATGGGTATTCAAAAGATAATGAAATGAATCTTGACCTTAGAATTTTAAAAATGAATGCAGAATATGCTGTTCTTCCTCGCTCTAAAAGAGTGGGAAATCAAATACAGAAGAGTACACCTTCCAAGGAAGGAAGTGTTACCCAAGACATTTCGAAGACTTGTTCAGGGTGTAGATAGTTGGAAAACACAATCATGCACAGCATTACTCAGTGAATCTAGTACTAAATAAAAATTGGTGGATTTGGTGACTCTTTAAAATAAACTACTGGTATGTCAGTGCAACTCCTAGTCAATACCTGTTATATTAGTGTTGGAATTAATTCATTCCACTCTTGCTGTGATCACTGATCTGCTGTTCCCTTTTAAAGGCAAACTCAGCTTTCACAGTAGCATATTTTTTACTTGCTCGATCGTTGACACCTTTTCTTTCTGCAGGTGTTATCAAGACTGCCCTTCCGAATATGGACAGAGAAGCCAAGGACCAGTACCTCTTAGTTATCCAAGCAAAGGACATGGTTGGGCAGAATGGGGGATTGTCAGGGACTACATCTGTAACTGTCACCCTGACTGATGTTAATGACAACCCACCCCGCTTTCCACGCAGTAAGTTACCTCGTAAATACGTGACTTGTGTATTATTCCTACACACTGCTGTTTTCTAACTGTGCTATTTCTAAACAAAAAGTGCTTATTTTCCATGTTAAGTACTTTGTTAAACACTGACTTAAACATCATTTTTATTATTATTATTATTATTATTATTATTATTATTATTATTATAGCACTGTTTTGGTTTGACTCATGTAAATTTGAAAATGCACAGTTGAAATGAAGTGGTGTACAGCAGAAGGGACATGCATTAATGTATTTTACTTCTTCTCTATGAATAAATATACAAAAAAAAATATATATATCCAAATAGATATTTAGGTCTTTCCACTTAGACTTAAGGATTCTTTAATTTGACCCATAATTCTTTGTATTCCCTTGGAACTGATATATGCTTACATTGTTTCCTAAAGGATTAATCATGAAAGTCACCTTCCCTCCACTTGATTTCCGTGACCAAGGTGGCTCTCACCCTAACCTAAAGAAAGGAGAACACAGTTGTATGCTCAAACCAGAAGAGCTCAGTTTATTCATAGAATTCTGTCTGGGGTGCTTTTTTCTAAAAAAAGAAATAAAAAATAAAACACAGCAAAAAAAACATGGTAGCATAAAATTAAAGTAATGTGAAGGATACATTCATGTTGGCTCCAGCCTCACCTCCAACGATGGAAAAAATGGATCTGTACATAATAGATTTCCTGTTGTTTCAAGCCACCAGCTGCTTGAAATAATAATAGAATAACTGAAGTTGTTTTTGAAGGTGAGGGATTGCCTACAGAATGCATTCTGATACCCTTTTGACAGCATATTGTGCTTGAATAAAAAAAGCTAGAATTCTCAAGATTGTGCACTTACTGTTAAAGAAATTAACATATATTAGTTTCTAATATTAAGATTGTGAACTGACTAATCAAGATATACAGCTATAGGATAATAGAATATTATACATATAGAATATATATGTAGAATAAAAGCTTTTGGTATTGATATTATTTTACTTATTTGCTTCTCTTTCCTCTTTTCTGGAAAACAAAGTAAAACTGCATTATCAGGGACTCAAATCATGATTTGCATTTAACTTTTAAATCTTATTGTTGCAATTTTTGCCTTATACTTCTCTTTTCATAAGAAGTTATGCCTGTTGTACTTAGAGCCTATCACAAAGAAAACCTAACAAAAAGGGCAATTCTATTTCAAAACTAAGGAATATATTCTTGTAGCCTAAGTACAGGTTCAGGCACATGATTTAAAGGAAGGTGGATTTAAGAGAGCTAGATTTTTTTTTAAATTTTTTTTTTTTTGAGTTTCAGTCCCAGAAGACTCTGAATTCATTAACTTTTTAAATTTTGCAGGATCATATCAGTATAATGTCCCAGAGTCTTTGCCAGTAGCTTCTGTGGTGGCCAGAATAAAAGCTGCAGATGCAGATGTTGGACCTAATGCTGAAATGGAGTACAAGATTGTGGATGGTGATGGTTTGGGAGTATTCAAAATTTCTGTTGACAAAGACACCCAGGAGGGAATCATAACTATTCAGAAGGTGAGTCTGATTTTACCCACTGATTCTGTTTGGAACTCTTCAAGCTGAAGGCAAGTAATGAGAGCATGAGCTTTTGTTTCTAAGAGCCCTGTCTGCTGTAAATGTTTCCATTAATGTATTTCATCTTGATTTTACTCTGTGATTTTGAGGTTTTTAATGACTTATGCTGAAAAATATTCTGTATTTTCTTTGACAAGACCTGTCTTTAAAACATCATCCTGAGGAGGATGTTTAAAAACACTGCATTCGAATAGGAATCTAAACTTTAATTTCATTTATCTTTGTATTAAATAGTGGAAAGTGTGAAAATATATCTTGCAGCAAAAAATTGAAGCTCCAAATAAAAAATGGATCCTGAAATTAAATATGAAAATAATTATCTAAATGTCTTTGGCTGAGGTGGTACTATTCAGAAAGCACACATTATTGATTTAAAATTATGTAACAGTAAAAGTAGTAGGTTTACAAGATTATGTATTATTAAAAATATTGTTTCAAAAACCCCTGAAAAATTTAAATATGTATTTTTTTCTTTGTAGCTTTCTACGTGTGCAGTTAGAAATCATTATGAATTTGAAAAATCATGTTGATACAAAATTATTAAAACTGAGCTTTCTTACATTGCTGCAACATATTTTTAGACTACTCCTTTAAAAAGTAAAAATGTGCTGAAATATTTTTCAAGAAAATTTAGATTTTTTTTGAACGTAAAAGAAATACAACACCTTAGAATAATCTATCATATAATTTCATACTCTTAATGTGTGAATGCTTGGCAAGGTTCCTGTGACATTTGTTATGCAAAGGGTGGTATGTCAGGGCCTGGGATTCCCAGCCAGAGCTCAGCCTGCAGCTCCCACTGCAGCTGCTTACCCAGTGGCCTACACTGAATTGATTCCTCAACAATTTAATATCCTTAAAATGTGGGAATGACTTGGCACTTTGGAATACATGGATCTGTGTGTCCAAACAAGGACCTATGTTTGTACTTATTATTATTATTCCGTAACAGATTTTTCTTCCCTGTGTATTCTTTAAAATCTTTGTAGACTTCACATATCCGTTGGGGGCTGGCTTTTTTTTGTCTTGTGTTGGGTTTTTTTCCCCCTTCTCTGGTGTATCAATTTCTTCTCCAAACAATATAGAGCTTCAGTTATATTTCTCCTCTGAAAGAAGTTAAGACTACAAGATGTTGCAAAGCAATGGGTTAATTCTCTGATGTCCTTAACACCTGTTCAGAGCTGGTAATCACCTGTTGAGAGCTGGTAATCATCCATAGATGTCACAACAAATGAAGCATGTTCACCCTTGAAAGATCATAATATGTGTAATGTGAATCATCTTTTTTCAAGGAAAAAACACCCATCTTAGTCTTCTTGCAAAATGTACTTCTGCTTAGCACGTTTGAAATACAAGTGATGAAAAGTTAGTAGTCTTCTTGTTCAACAGCCAAATTCAATGTGGCTCCTTCAGCTTGCTCATTTAAAGTTTTTGGGCAAGGATTTGAGAGAAATGTGCCTATACTAGAGGGAGAACGTTTACTGGTGCCACAATTAGCAACACTGAATCAGTCAGGGTCTTCAGTGATCTAATATGAGAACTTGTGAGTTAATTCCCATTTTTTAGTATGGTTTTGTTGTTTATTTGTTCCTGGAGTATCCTGATTACAGTGCTATAGAGTGGACCAAATAATTGACATTTGTTATTTCTATAATCATTTTATCTAGGGAGCTGAACTGGACTTTGCACTACTGAATATTTGTGCAGAGAAGTGCTCTATGAAATAGCTGCTGAAATACATTAAAAGGGTACAAATTGTTGACATGATCAAATGGTCTAATCTGTTAATAATTTTTATACCTACATACTGCTGTATTTTGACACAAGAATCCAGACTTCTTTCTCTGCAGTGTTAGACCTTTTCTCTAATTTTCCTACTATTTTTGACCTACTTTCCTCTGTGTGGTAGGTAGTCCTTGGCTAGTGCCAGATGCCCACCAAGCCAGTCTATCACCTCCTTTCCAGCAGGAGAGTGTGACAAAATAAGATGGGAAGAACCTTGTGGTTCGAGAAAAGAGGAGTTTACAAATGCAAAACTGAAGGTCACATACATGCCAAGAAAAGCGAAAAAATCAGATCTTATTACTTATGGAGATGCCCAGCCACTTCCTGGGAGGCAGGGATTCAGTTCAAGTGACAATTTCATCAGGAGGCAAAGGATGTAAATAATGAATGCCCACTCCCCCACTCCATCTCCTCCACCTTTCTCTTATGTTTTATATCTGAGCAGATGCCCTGGCTGTGGCTCCTCCCAAGATCTTGCCCATCTGTGTGGGAAATGTTGGAAAGACAGCACTGATGCTGTGCCAGCACTACTTGGCAGTAGCCAAAAAACTGGTGTGTTGTCAATACCTTTCCAGCTACCAATGCAAAGCACAGAACTATTCTGCTCTGGAGAAAACCGACTGCACTTCACCCAGACTCGCCAACATACTCTGACATACGCAAAGGTGATTCTCCATGCTGGTGGCTGAATCCCAAACCTCAGGATGTCCTTAGCTTTTCATTTTGACTCCAGGGAACCTTGTGCTTTTCCCAGTCCTAAGAGACTATCCCTGCCCACCCTGTAAAGAACATTGTCGAGGATAGAAGTGAGGAATCGAAGCACAGGAATCAGGCAACTACACTGTCTTCTGGACAATAAATTGAATTAAAGACCATTAATAACTGTGTATGCAAGTTAAGTGGGTTTCTGAGCCTTACCTTCCAGTTCACTATGGAGTCACATTATCCCTGCATGATAATGTATGCTTGTTAGTAAGAAATCATGGAAGAAATTAAGTTTGTAGCCTGGAATCTGCCTAAAAATTTTACTGTCCAGCACATGATGTTCTGTACTCCTCTGAGTGCAATTACCTTTCTACTTTTCATACCCTAAAATCAGCTGAGGTATTGAAAAGCAGCTCAGCCTCAAAATGCATGCCTATCCTTTTCAACTTTTGATTATTTATATGCTTGGATGACATGTCTGTGTACACATCAGGCAGTAAAACGCCAAGGCAAAGACTTATGAAAAGGCAAGCTTTGGTTCTAAATGCAAATGGGTGCTTTAGTTTTGCATGCTTCTGCTGCAGTTGTACATAAAGCTCAGCAGGCTGGGCATGAACATCACCAGCAGTAACTGAGCAGCTGAAGGCACTTTTCCATTCATTTTTATGCTGGGTGTTGTTGGAGAAAGTTTGGCACCTGGTTATCCGAGTTCCAAACACAAGCTGAGGATTTTGCTTTCTGTTTTTAGAAGGATAACCACTTCAAGACAATTTTGAAAGTTGACTTCCTCACTCAAAACTAACACTTCTTCTAACACATATGTAGCATTAAATTTAAAAAAAGAGGGTTTTTGTAAGAATAAAAGAAAAGAGAAGGAAAATAATTGAGATTTAAAAATTCATTGTGTAAAGACAGATTTTTATGTTCTTTCTTACTCTTATTCCACAATATTCATTTTATGCAATATTAAAAAAAATGCCCAGGGATGAGCAAAAACTGCAAGAAAATGATCTGGTTTGAAACAGAGATACCAAGTACCATGATATTATAATGAGAAAAATGTTACATGGTTAGGTGTATCTCAAGATTACCAGTGAATAGGTTTGGGTTTTGTTTAATTTTTTTTGATTTATTTCCGTGCCTGTTTGAACATATTTCTTTTCTGTACACTGCAACAAAGAGACTTCAAAATGTCAGTGGGGGAAAAAAAAAAGCCTTTTTACTATTAATACTGATAATCATTGAAATATATAGTGTGTATTCCTTCCTTAATAACTCTCCTGCACTGCTACAAACCCAGATATCTCTCTGGCTTGCACAGTTTATTCAGGATGGATTTTTCTCCTAACATTTTGAGAACACTGCTGTTTTCTGAGTAGGAGTGGTAGTTCTGCTCATAGTTTGTATAGCCATGGCAGGACTAGGGATTACATGCTCCTGAACATGCTAGTACTGTTTCTACCTAGTGCCTAATGTCAGTGTAGGTTAGCAACTAGACTAAACCTCAGTCAAAATAACATTTTGGCAATAGTCTGGCACTCTTGTAATTACTCCCTTGTCCATATGGAAGCAGACAGGGGAAGAATGCTTTGTCTGTGTTTCTATCCACTTGGTTTTTTTCTTTTCAAAGAGTGGGATTGTACTGCCTTATGCAGTACAACTAAAAAGCATGTGTGCTGTATCTGTACAGTTTTTACAGCCGTATGGGCTTTCACATACTCATCACACCTTATTTTATCCCTGTTGGGAAATTTGAGTCAAAATTAAATGAATAAGTAATTCACATATTCCAGGGAGCTGCTTAAGTTCCTTTGAAACAAAAAACCACCACCCCCTACCAAAAAAAAAAAACCAACAAACCAAAATAAACCAATCAAACAAAAAAAATAAATGAAGAACCCCACAGAAAACATTTTTAAAATCTTTGGAACAAGAACTAATTTTGTTAATAAATTTATGGCTTACATAATAACAGCATGTTACTTCTGGGTAGAATTGTTTTTTGTAAGATTAGAAAAGCTAAAAGTTCATCTAATGATAGAAGCTAGTAAAACAGTGTTGAACCATTTATTTGGTTATTGGCACTTAAATAGAATCTACTGTCTTCTGCAATATGTTAACCAATTTCATATATAAAAATATATCCAGCATGTATCTATAATGGGATATAAGCGTGTAAATCATTTTTAGGCTATTTTCAGCTATTTCATTACTTGAAATAGGATATGAAATATTCTAGAAGACAAATTTTGACTTTCTTTTTCTTGGTCTTTCATTTTTCTTCAGAAGTTATAAATAACAAGTGAATGAGACCTGTATTCTCAGCTTAAATGAAGGGTGGGAAAGAGGTAGGAAAGCTAATAAGGGTCTTTTCCTGTAACCTAGTATGTTCATACAATTTGTTGCCTAGCAGTTTCAAGTCCCCATGGAAATCTTCCCACATCTTTATTTACTGACTTTTCTTTTGTTAAATAATACTAACAAACAAATGAAAAGTTCTTGCTTGTCAAATGAGACAGAAGAAATCTTTCTTATTTTTATCCTGTTCAGAGCGGTTCATGCTACAATTATGATGTTGCAAATTATAAGAGAGTTTGGTTAACCTCCATACTGTATCACAGTCTCTGTGATAAATCATAGAACAGAATAGAAGAGAATAGAATCATAAGATAGCATCATTAAGATTGGAAGAGACCTCCAAATTCATCAAGTCCAATCTTTGATGAACACCACCATGTCAGTTGAACTATAGCGCCTCATCCAGTCATTTCTTGAATGCTTCCAGGGATGATGATCCCCTGGGAAGTCTATGCATAAGTACCCTTTCAGTGAAAAAAAGTCTTCATGATGCCCAGCCTGAACCTTTACCTGGAAAATTTTGTGGCTGTGTTGTCTTGTGCTATCCCTAGCTGCCTAGAAGAAGAGGCTGACCCCCCACCTCACCACAATCTCTTTTTAGGGAGCTGGAGAAAACACTGCTGCCTCTGAGGCTCCTTTTCTTTAGGCTAAACAACTCCAGCTCCTTCAGCCACTTCTTAGACAACTTATTGTCTACACCCTTCAGCATCTCCATTGCCCTTCCCTCTACACTCCAACACCTCCTCAGTGGGGGGCCCAAGCAAGGGACACAGGACTCAAGGCATGGTCTCACCTGTGCCAGGTACAGGGGGGCGGGCAGTTGTTGCTTTGGTCCTTCCAGACATGCTGGGTTTGATCCAAGCCATTCACCTTCTGAGGCACCTGGGTACACGCTGGCTCATGATCAGCATCCCCTGATGGGCAGTTCTCCAGCCACTCTGCCCACAGCCTGTAGCACTGCAGAGGGTTGTTGTCACTCGGGCAGAAAACCACGCACTTTTGTTGTTGAATATCACACAAGTGGCCCAGCTCATTGATCCACCCCATCCAGATTCCTCTACGGAGCCTTCCTGCCCTCCAGCAGATCAATGCTCCCACACAACTTGGTGTCATCTGCAAACTTACTGAGGTGCAGTCAGTGCCCTTACCCAAATTATTTATAGATATTAACTGGGACTGCACTGAGCACTGAGCCCTGAGGAACATCACTGCTGATTGGCTGGCAATTGTTTGGATCTCCATTCACTACCAAATCTTTGAGCCTGGACAGTTTTTAACTCAGTGAAGAGAGCGCAGGTTGAAACCATGGGCTGACAATTACAAAGTAAAATTAAACTAGATTTGTAAGTTGTCCTTAAATCAGATTTAGGAAAACATCCATCTTATGTGTTCTTTTCAGAAAAAAAAAAAAAGAAAAAAAAAAAGGAAGAGTTGTAGAGTTTATGAAAAGGAATCAAGCATTTATATTTCTTAGAAGTATCTCAACATTTTTTCTTCGTTCGCACTGTGACTCAGTTCTCCATCTGTAGAGTAGGATCAATTCCTTCCTGTGGTTTCATTTGTAATTTACATACTGCTATCAATGCTCCGTCAGTAAGGACTCAGATCATTTGCATAACTCAATTTCACAGTGGTGAGGGTGTTTGGAGAAAAAGCATAATTTTTCTGCATATATTGGAGTTTTAAAAAATGTGTCAGATTTTCCTGTGCAGTAGAAATCTTAGAATTGAAGAAGCATTTACGGAAGCGAATGATGATTCAGTCATTTAATACAACAGATTCTGAAGTGTCCTTGTAAACCTATGTACAATTTTGAAGTGAATTCATCTTGATTTTTTACAGAATCCTGATTGTAATACACATGAATGGAGCCTTGGCTTTACTTTCTAAGCAAAGTACACAAATCCTTATTTTTTTGTGGTTTCCAAAGCACTATTACTAGAAATAGGGTACTAAAAAAAGCATCGTATAAGTAGAGATCTCACTTTATCCACAAAGTTGCAGGCTAAAGTTAGACTTCAGTAATATTAATAGCTTAGTAGCAAAAGTAATATTAATAGCTTAGTAGAAAAACATCTTAAGATAAAAACATGATGCTCATTATCCACCTACACTTTTATCAAATATTTGGTACTTAAAGTAGTTATGGTAATTTAATAATAAAATAAGGCTTCAAGGTATATTTTTATTTTATGTATCATTTGTGACTTCTTGAAATGTCATGAGATGTGATTCAAGCCATTTGGAAGTCTATAGAGAGATTTTAGTGGATTTAAGGGGGAAAAAAAAAGAGCAAAAACTCCTAAATACTCTGTAGAATGAGGGTTGTAATGTCTGACTGCTGAAAGTGACAAGCACTAAGATTTCCCATGGTAGAGTTCTTGCTCACTTTGCCTTCATTTCTACCCTCAATACACAGCCCAACCACCATCACCAACTGGTATGAATGTTAAAGGGAAAAATAATGTTGTAAAGTACTTTCTCATAGAAATTGACTGCTAAGAGATTATTTTAAAACCTAAGTTCGTTCTAAAAGCAATATTGGCAATTATAAAATGGGGGTGGGGGGAAGAGAGGGTTTATGCATAAGCTTTTGAGTGAAAAGTTATCTTTCCATTATTGTTAACATTTCTTTTTTTTTCTTTTTAGCTAAAAATTATTCTTTCAATTCTGTATCAGAGTTTACAATGTAAGAAATTGAGGCTTCCCTGGTTCCTTTGAGAGATTGTGTGCATTTGTTTGATGTACTGCAGTTTTCAATATAAAACCTCAACTGGGCTTAAAAATGGGATTTTCACCTCTGAAAAGTATATTATTACAAAGTTACCATGCAATAAAAATGAACATTATAAAAATGGGCTTTCTGTGAGTTATAACTTCATATCCAGCCTCTCTAAAATAGTAGACTTGTTTTGCAATTTCCTTCAGAAAGGATCAATTTCTTATCCCTTAAAAGGAAAAGAAGAAAAAAAGAAGACAGACCTCACAAAAGGAAAGATTAATGAATCCTGCACAGGATCTAATCAGATAATACTAATGCACAGATATTAATGAAGTTCTATTCACTGTACTGAAGAACTGAAATATATGTTGTCCCTTTAACCTTCACCATTGATGTAGTGATTTGAAGACTGCGAACTTGGTGTTCCATCACTGGAATCTTGTGCTTTTGTTATAGCAGGAAATAATGAAGGCATGATCCAAAAGCCATTTAAATAATGCTCTCTGTATATTAGACACCAATGATAACTAGATAAGAAGAAACAAAAAAAAATAAAATATTTTCCTTTCGTTTTATCAGTCTTTCCTTAGTGTATGTAGCGTGCAATTTCTTCATAATATTAGCTAAGAAATGTTGAAATGTTTACACCAGGTCAAGAGCTCTTTCACATTAATCATGCTTTAGATATTTTGTTTGATTTTCTGAGATTATGTTTGACCTCAAACCCTGATTGACACCTCTGTATTCCCCACAGTATATGAGGTTGTATATTTTAGAGCAACAGATTGAGGATGATGACTGTTGCTTTTGTAGACATTGCCACACCCCAAGACAGACAACAGGCTCTGCTAGAAAGAACTGAAAATAACAATACTGAAAATGAAATCACTGGATATTGTAAAATCCATCAGTCAATCCATAAATACCCTCTTCTAAACACCAACTCTTATCTACTGCATACATCCATAGATTAGATCTTTAAAATTTATTTATTTATTTTTTCATTAACAAGGATCCTTATATATTTTGAATACTGCCAGCAGCACTGAGTACCAGAAGATATCTGAGGGAATCCTAGGGAAGGATTCATGTTGCTGAGAACAGATGTTTGCTTCTTTCAGTTATTGAGACTCCCTTACTAGTGACTGGTGAAAAACAGGCATTCACCAGCTGATATCTTTCCTGGAATAATTTTGCTACAGTCACACTAAGGACCATATGGTGATTTTCTCAGATGTACATGGCTATGTTAAAGAAGGTTGAACATGCACTTAGTAAGTAAGGCTGTTTAGAATATGTATCTGCACCGCTGTTAGTTTTTCTACCTTTTCTATAAGGAAATATTTTTCTAATGAATGTGTATTTTTGGTGAATTCCCTACTAGTCTAACACTCCCTTATGATAAAAGTTCTTATGAAAAAACACTTATTTATTATTTCAGTTAATAAAATTTTAAAGAAGTCTTCTTTAATCAATATAGAAACATGGGAGTGTCTTAAAATTATTTTAAGTATTTCTTTTTTGTTGTGATGGTCTATTAAAATAAAATTAAAATTTATATAATTTTTTGAGTACATATATGGTATACATTTTGCCTATTAAATCAGAAATTTAATCATTTCTTTACATTGAAGGACTGTGCTGTTTACATTAGTACGTCAGAAACAGCTAACTTCTCTGCAGTCTCATGATATGTTTCCATGTGTTTGATTAGGTGTCACTGCAATCTCAATCACACAATTTCAAGAGATACCCCTCATTAATGAGGCTAAATTAGCTTTCATTTCTCCACTACATACTTTTGTACATTCTGACTGCAAATATACTGTTTGCTAAATGGCCAGTGCTTTTTTTTTATTGATGGTGAGTTTTGGTTTTGGTGTTTTTTGTTGTTTTTTTTTTAGTTCAACAAATGTTAGCCTTTCGCCTTTGACATTTTTCAAATTATTGTTTCTTTATTTATTATGCTGTTTTTTTAAGTTTTAATTTTTTAATTAATATTTTGCTTTTATTAGATAATGTGATGTCTTAAGATATTTGTGTGCTTGTTTGTCCTCATCTAGTCATATCATTTGCCTAATTGTTATCACTGCAGAATGAAGTTTCTGGGTCAGTTTTCCTTATTCCAACATCACATTTGCAATATGGCTGTGAGGTTGTTTCATAACACATGTATTGTACTTTAAATATAAAACCAAAGTGAAAATAAAAAAAACTATTAAACATACTTTACTAATGAATACTGACCAACTGTATCCAGTACAGGGACCAGTATCCAGACAAACTTTCTATTTCAGCATATCTGTTTTCCAAGAGCTGTGGGTACTGCAGCTTTGATTCAGTTCAAGAAGTGCTTGCATAATATGAGGATCACATGTATTCCCAAATGGAGAAGCCTTTTGCTGCCACACAGAGTTTGTAAAAGTTCAGTGCCTTTCTGAGTGTGCTGTGCTGCACTTCATCTTTCATATTTAAATCTAGACTGTTTGCAGCTGTATTATAGCATCAACATAATCGCTGACTTTAAGATGCTCATTTGGGATTTATCCGACTGTAACTAGATGGAGAACTTAGGCTCTTGTAGGTCAACAGATGTGTGCTTCACCTCTGCTGCTCCTCTGAGTGAAAACTGGAATGTTTCACAGATGCTGGAGGATTAATTTGCAAGCACATCTCAGATCCCTGTGATGTATTCAGTAGCAGAACTGCAGAAAAACATTTTTAATCTGTTTTATACACTTGGAATTGTAGTTTGAAGATGTGGTTGAGTAACCAGACCACAGCTTTAGAAGTGATTCAGCTAGGTGTTTTACTGTTGTTTTTAATGACTTAAACTTGGAATTTTAAAGGAATAGTTAGCTGGATATTTGGTGCAAGCTGACCAACTAAGACTATAGAGACAGGGTAAATCGCTCTAATATTGACTTGATGCTTTCCTTCAGTAATTTTCTGTGAGCTAAAATTATTTTTATCTCAAATAAAATTTTCTTATTTCTAAAGAATCTGAATAACCTCAGATCACAGATATCTCATTTGTTGTGGGGGGTAGGTTTTGATTCTAACACAGTATTTATTATAAAAGAAACTGTACTTCCACTGAGGAAAATCAAAAAATTAAAAATTAAAGCAGAAGGAAGATATAAAAATTTGTGTATTTTGCTTAATAAGAAAAACAAACCAAAACAATCTCGGTACAAAATATTGTGATATAAGCAGTGTCATTTAAGTCATTGCCACATTTTCTACACAAATTTATAAGAGCTTGGAGAAAAAATTGTTTAGTCAATCCTAATACTATGCAAAAACCAGTAAATTCAATTAAAAAAAAAAAATAAAAAAAATCCCACCCATAATTTTCCGAATGAGGTGTTTTCACCTGTAAGTAACCTTTAAAGATTATATTGAGTTCTTATGTCTGGGTAGTATGCTACAGTTTATTTGCCATTAGCTTAGATAAAATTTTAGTGAGACAAAAATAAGTATTAATTCACAATAGTGAAATAATCAGTGAGAATCTGGTCCTCACAGAAGTTACAGAAAGTTTTGCCATCATCTCATAAATTTGTTTCACTCACAAGAGAGAACTGTCTTTACCACTAAAGTAATTGCAGACTATTCACTAGTGAGACTCTGCAAATAGTGTTTTGAGAAAGCTAAAAAGTGAACCATCAACTGTGGTCAGTCAGTCAGAAGTGCTGTTTGTGTACAAATGGCAAAGCTCATTTCATTTTATACTTACTGAAAGTTTTAAGCACTGGGGCCCTTCAGTGATATGACAACAGTGAAGATAATCGTAGAAGATGTTGATGAACCGCCTGTGTTTACTTCACGTCTGTACTCCATGGTGGTGTCTGAAGCAGCAAAGGTTGGCACCATCATCGGAACTGTAGCGGCCCATGATCCAGATGCCTCAAATAGTCCTGTCAGGTAATTGTAAGACATCTTAATTATTTATTCATCCTTTGCATTGAAGCCGTTCATCTTGTGCTGGGAAGGTATTTGGTTACACTGAAAGTAATTAATAAGCGTTCTTCCTTTGCAGAGGGAGATTCAGATGTTCTATGAGTTTGCATGGTTTAACTTTTATAACCTGAACTACAGAACCTCTGGGAAAAAAAAAATAAAAATTGAAATCTCTGTGAAGCAAAGAAGAGAAGATAAAGTTTCAGAATCCCAAATGAAAAATTCACCTAAAAATATTGCTCATATTTATTACTCTCTACGCTTAGGAAGAGTCTATTATTATCTTTAGCAAGTTATATTCTCTTAAATCAACCAGGATCAAAAATTATATCTATAATATACATGCATGCTTGAATAATGATTCATAGTCTGTGTCCACTAGGAATGAGAAGGTAATGGGACATCAGGTCCCACATGGAGCTGAGGTCCCATGGCAGGAAACATTAGTAAGAAATCTGTAGATGAGAGAAGTGGACGGGATGAAATGCATCCTGTTCCAATCAGGATAGTTAAAGGCTTTTGGTTTTGTAACTTTTACTGTGGCCAAGTATCTTCCATTTGAATGGGAAGAGATATGATCACTGGAGATTCTTAAACTGTCAAGGCCCTTTGTCTTCAGTGTCTGAAAAACCCGCAGGTCTTACACAATACAATGTCCAAGATCATTAAGAAATCATAAGAGAACAAAATTCTCAATCTTGTTTGCATGTATCTAAGGTCAGATCTCAAGGGCAAAGACTCACCACCTTAGCTAAACCACTAATGAACTACTTGTTATTTTTCTTATGCAGAGTAGTATTATTAATTCTCAAAGGAACATGCAAAGCGTCTAGAGAGTAATGGTTATAACTTAGGAATTCTGTGAATTTAAACACCTGCAGGGGGAGGAACTCATATACCATTAAAAGTTACTGCTTAGTTTCTTCTGTTTTTATTGCTCACATAGGGCATACATAGGAAAGATCTTTGTGGGTATTTGTTTGGGTGTCACTTGTTTTGGTAATGTTAAATCTTTCCTTTCATGCATTGAAAATGGGAGCTTGGGAATCTAGTGTAATTTCTAAAGCAGAGATCTTATGTTGCAAAAGTAAAGCATATGTTTCACTCCTAGAGGTGATGCAAGTGTTCTATCTTTTTCGTTATATATTTGCAGCATATTCAAAATAGCTGATTCCTATCATGTATAAACAAGTCCTAGATGAATCTTTGGCATGGATTTACTTGTGAAATTTATCTTTGCTGTGGAAGTACTTTTTGGCACCAATGTTAGCATCTGGTGTATGATATCTGGTTACCAGAATCATTTAGAACAGGCTTAAACACAGTTCCACTAGTGCAGGCCATGCTCAGAATTCTTTTGACTCCTTTGCAAACATAAAGATGAGTTTGTTGGCCTTGATCTGGTTAATTTTTACAATTCCAGCATAAAAAGTAATTATACCACCTGCTAACATTTTGAAGATTTCTTCTGTTTCAAAGTTTCTTGAAATTTTAGGGAGAGGAAAAAAGAAAAGTAGTGAGGATTTATCAATATACTTGTGAACCTGCTATGTACATGGTCAAAAGTACTGAAAGATCATAAAATTTAAAGCTGTTCTACATATGCTATGATACATCAGAGACAGATTCACCTAAAATTGGAATGTGCTAAGTAGGATTAATGCATAAAACTTTTCATGATCTGTTTAAGGAGTTTAAACTATTAATCTATAAATAAGTATTCCAACTTCCAAACATTGGATTATATTGATACTGATTAAAAACTAGATTTGTTACAATTCATAAAATGTTGAAATTACAAGAACAGATACAGAACCTTGACAATACCAAGGACTACGGAAAATAATAAATGTTTTGAAAATAAGAGGTTATCTCATAAGGACCAGAGCACTATTGATGTTTGAACTAGCTTAAATAAAGGATTTAAAACTCCTGCAGCTCAAAGATTTCCAAGTACTATGGCTGTGAGGAATTAAAGGATTAAATGTATTTAAAATATTTTTTTTAGAATTGAAGTATGGATACAATGCTTATAAATAAGGGAAACTGCTTGCTTCCTATGAATAAAATTATTCTTCTCCTTGTTTCATAAGGATCTGTCATCCAATTTATATAACTTGTTTACTTTTCCTCCCTCTTTCCCTGTCTCCTTCCTTGTCTCCCTCCTTTACTGCTTTCTTCCTTTTCTTCTTTCTCACCTCTCCATGTCCTCCTCCATTTCTCTTTCTCCTTTTCTTTTACTTCTTATCCTTTGACTCTTCAAGCTGCATAGTGATAGTCTTAATAACTGGGAAATCTAAGGATTTCTAAGGGAAATCTGGCAGGAGATTGAATCTCAGCTATGAGGCCTGCCAAGATTGACTACATAGCAGAGGTGACAGGTATAGTCTCGTGGGGAAACTTGCCAGCCACAAAGCAGCTGTAGAGCACTTCTGACCAAATAAACAGCAGTTCTGGCAAGAAACAAGTGAGAAATGGCCTACAGTTAAGACAAAGTGAAAGAAGAAAAGAAAAAGGTAAAAGAGGGAAAGTGGTAATCCACAAAAAATGCTGTTACTGTTGTAACAGCTCATACTCTCTCTCGATGTGACACAATACAGCAAAACATTTCTAATTATTTGACAAAGGCTCTGCACTTAGATTGCACACTTAAGAGGGATAAACAAAAACACAGAAATACAGTAAAAAGGATGATATATTACAACACAGAACAAATAGTTTCATAAAATCACTGTGTCCAGGAAGTCCCAGTTTTTAATTGCTTTGCATAATTCTTTCTTTCCATGCTGTTCAAAGAATTTGGTTTATGTTATATCAATAATCTAATATATCATCACTCTGTCAGTAATTGCAATGATAATACTTGATCTGGTTCAGACATTTTAATTCATCCTGAGTGTAAGGAAGTGCTCTGGAGTACATACTTGACCTAAATAAGAGTGCAAGAATCTAACCCAATAATAAATCTAATGTCAAGAATATTCCAACTGTAAATCTAAATCTTTCTAATCAACTGTCCCTTACTCTCAAAACTGATATAAACAAATCACCCTTAGGTATTTTAACCTTTCTTCTTATGCTACTTTCAGTTTTCTAAGGAGCTCCTAAGGGGATCCCCTTCCTAAAACAAATTGGGAGGTAAAGTAATGTTAAGCCAAAGAGTTAAGGGCATGAGTCCCTGTTTGTCTAATGACAGTAAAGCACTGTGAGCTGGCAGTGATCACATGCAATCTCTTGACCCTAGTCTGCATCATCTTTCCTTTTTCCCTCTTCCCCTGCAGCTCTGGGTGACTCAGGGGCTCTTCTGCTGATGATAGAAAGCTCTGCGCTCAGGTTGCCAGCCCCCATGGGATCAGTGCCTGGATGGTACAGCCTTATAGCAAATTCCAACTCACCTTCTCCTTAGCTGGCTCTCAGGAGGATACCGTTTGATTAATTCCTGAGTTTGCTTTACAGCAGAGAGGAGGAAAGAGAAGAAAAGAAAAGAAGAATACCTATAACCTCACTTAACACTGTGGGAGTGGAGCCTGCTGCTGTCAGCACAAGTCACTGTGTAATTCTCTCACCTTTGCATGTGGCTTTGCTTCTCTCAGCGCCCCAGGGAAACTCGACTGAGCAATGGTCAAACTGAGGAAACAGTGGAAATGTTTTCCCTCTAATAAGAAATCAGTGAAATATTTTTACGAGCTGTAATTGAACATAAATGAAAACTTTCTGTCCTCCTTTACCTAGGTATTCGATAGATCGAAACACAGACCTGGAGAGGTATTTCAATATTGATGCCAACAGTGGAGTCATTACAACTGCCAAATCTTTGGACAGGGAAACTAATGCTGTTCATAATATCACAGTTTTGGCCATGGAAAGTCGTAAGTATCCATAGAAAGATTTTTATCTACAGTTTATGTGTAAAGCTTCAGGCTTGGTTTTGATGAGCTTCATTCAGAGAAATTCTGGCAGTTGCAAGCTTTGGCAGATAAAAATAACTTACTACTTAATGCAAAAGAAATCTATATGATAGAAAATTTAAAATACAACAGTTTAGGTGTTTGCTCTTTCATTCCCTTCACACCTTGTGTATTCTTTTGTCTTTAGAAAGACAAGTACAATGTTACAAAGTGCAAGAAATATGTTAAGTCAGCAGTCTCACACTAAGTCTGATTACAGGAAAGGTGATATAGAAGATGGGGGAGAGTGATTACCCCATCTAAGTGAGGGCTGTCAGAGCTGATTGCTGTTGGTCAACCACAGCATTCTCAGAAGGTATTAAAAAAGGGGATGTGAATGCTAATGTGGTTTCATTTTGACTGTAAGGTACCACTGTAGAAGTCATTTTGTACTTGGTATCTTTTTTTGGTGTAAGATGAAAAGTGTTAAAAAAATGCAATGCTTCAAATGGATACAGGAATTCTTCTAATGCAGGTTCAAACCTAAACTTATGCTCTGAATACGTTTTTTGAAGTGTTTTTATATTTGAAGAATTTATGTCTTTAAATTTTATCTTTATTACTGCTCTGTTGGGCTGTGATAATAGAAACATTATCAGTTTTCTGGCTTGTTGTTGTAAAAATCATCATTTCTTGATTTCAGTGAGCTTAATTTAACATTTAACCTGAAAGTTAAGATTTATCATTTAGTGTCTCTATGAATTTATCTTGTATTATTCTACTTGATCACAAGTAGAATTTTGGTCTAAAAACCCAAAATTAAAAACAAAAATTTTCCTGGGTGGTAGCAAAACTGATGAGATAGACAAGGGGAATACCTGACAAAAATGACAGTCAAGGAACACAAGTAACTGTACTAACTTATATTCATGCCTGCTTGATTTTCAATAAGTTTAGTTCAACAGACGAAAATTTTGGTGTCAAAATGGCTTACTTTGGTATTTCACATGTGGTATAAAAACAAACAAATGAAAAAAAAACCACTTTGTGATTTACATTTAGGTGCTTAAAATATTTATTTATATGTGGTTGCACAACACTATAAAATGATAGATACATATTTCAAGTTTTGTAAAGTTTTTCATTTTGTCCTGCTGCACCCCTAATACCAACATTTTTGGTAAAAAAGGACTATAACAACTCTATTCCCTGCTCCAAAAGAGAGACAAAAGAAGTATTGCACTGACTGATGTCCCTATGCTTAGTCCAAAATATAATTAGTGTTTAAGGTTAAACTATGACATTGGAAACTGAATATACTCTGAGTTTAGCTAGAAATGTGTATCAATTTAGGGTGTGATTTGTATTTAAGCTGTTCAATATATTAATGACTGTGTTGAAATGCTTAGCTGTGTGTGCACTGTAAATACTTTGGGATTTGCTTCAGAATGCAGCCTTCTTTTCTCTGACACGTAGCTGATAAAATTCTGATTTTGACTTCTTAATAGACTAATCCATCTAAAGTTCATGGAAAAAAAAAAAAAGTTTAACCCATAATAGTCCTGCTATTCCCAGTATGAACAGTGATGTCTGGGCTAGCTTGGTGATGATTTTATATCATCTTGCTCTTATCCTTCCATGTGATTTAATTCGATACTGTGATTAGTGAGTTAGATTTCCAGTTTATCCTGAAAGTAAAATCTTAGGTTAATTGAAGCAGCTGGAGCACATAAATGTTGGTCTGGAAGATCAAGACAACAGCTTCCTTTGTATTTGAGAGAGGGATTATAATTGATTTGACATGCATATCCAAAAGAAGAATGCAAGTGAAAAAGATAATGACCTTCAGAATAACTTGCAAGGATCTCCTCTTAATTGTTTTATTGGACATTTTCCTATAGAGAATCCAGCACAGATTGGGAGAGGCTATGTAGCCATCACAATCCTTGACATCAATGACAATGCCCCTGAGTTTGCCATGGAGTATGAGACAACAGTCTGTGAAAATGCTCAGCCTGGTCAGGTATGTCTTGATGGGTTTTATGTTTATTTTTACCAGATAAACAGCCATTCCTTATTAAAGTCTTCCAACTCTAAGACAAAGAAAAATCATTTTATAACAGTAGAAATGAGGCTCTGATGAGCAGTACAAGCAAACAATAAGAAAGATGAAGATATAAAAAATATTTGTTGAAAGTAGTGTTAAAATCTCTGGCTTTTTTACTTGTATAACAGATGTATTTTGCTTAACTCACCTAATTTTGAATAATACTGAGAATGTATACTTCCTCCTAATTTTTTTGAGAAGTGGGAAGCAGTAACACAAGGGTTATTCTGAGACTAAATGCCCACCATTCTGAAAATGAGTAGACACTTTTAATCCCCCTAGGAAGTATGGACCATAAGGGGACAGTTTAACAAGGGGAATATATTTCTATTTTTTATTTCTATATTTTTAACTACCCAAATATCTTCCAAGTGGTCCTAGACTTATACTAAATCTATCACTTGTTTGTCCATAGTGTCCCTTATATTTGGCCTTTTCATCTCTACTTTGGAAGACCTCACAAAATCCATGTGCTTTCTCAGTCTCTCTTCCCACTTCCAGAAAACTAGAAGATGCTGCAACTGCATAGATCCCACATATTTCCTGGAAGACTTCGCACTTTTTTGCCTTCTCCCAGTGTATTGTTATTCCTGCAGTAGATGTTTACTGCACATTTCAAAATCAACTCATAATTTAAATTCTGATAAAAAACCCACTATGATTATTAGCTTGTGTTCACGAGAAACACAGAGTATTCATGCTCTTGTTGAGGCTCCCTGTTTTCCCTGTGCTCTGATCAGAACTGGACCAGAGAATCGGAATTTCCAATTGTTGTGGATTTTTAAGTAGTGGTGACGCTTTCTTTAGAGATAGATTTTGACAGAATTTTAGAAAATTAAATTTAAAAATAATAGTAGTGAAATTCCAGAAAATAATAATATACTTATGATGTGCCTTTCTGGTTTTTATTATATATATAAAAAAAAAGTACATTAATTCAAATGCTCAAAAACATCACGGTTTCCATGTGAAGGTTTGCAACATTGATTGCAGCCACTGATAACTGCACTAAGAACCATCCAGAAGATAATTCTTCCACTGCTATATAATTTATTACTCCAAGCTTTGATGAATGTCAGGACCTGACTTTCTCCCAGACCCTGCTTTGGCCAATAAATTTGTTACAGGTAAAGAGTTGAATCACCATTAACAATCTCTGCGTGCTTAAGAGTTTATAAGACCAAAATGCAAGATGATTAGAACTTAAGGGAGGGTTGATATTTTGATAGGTAACAGAGTGGTTAGGTAACGTACATGTACATATGTTCCAATGAAACCCTGATGTATCTCAAAACAGGTGATCCAAAAAATTAGTGCAATTGATAAGGATGACCCACCAAATGGCCATCAGTTCTACTTCAGTTTAACAGCAGAGGCAGCAAATAACCACAATTTTACATTGCAAGACAACAAAGGTAAGAAAATTTTGATTTGGCAAATACTCACCACTAGCCTTCCATTTCAATGCTGCATGCTTATTATGACCTACATAAACTTGTATTCTGGTAAGGACATAAACTACAATCAGCCTGCCAAATAATTTTATCTGTAGACTGTTTGTCAAAGGAATTAAGCTGTTGTTTGAATCATTTAAAGCCTTGAGCCAAACAGAGCAGCATAAAATCTTTAAATCTTTCCTTCCCCCCACCCCCCCATCAGTCACTCTTCACATTTCTCCCTGTATTTATAGGTTTTTATCTAAATTAGATTTTATCTTGGGGCAGTGACTGAAAAATGTCCAGGAATTCATGTCTTATTAATACAACTCAGGACATAAAAAATGAGTGCATGATAGATGGAGATGTTTTGTGATTTGTGGGGATTTTGTTTTGTTTTTAGAAAAATACATATTTTCAGTAACTAAGTATATCCCCTTTTGAAGAATGCTTTTAATAATGAAAGCTGCCTCTAATATTTGCACAGACTTCTTATGACTGTTTCCTCAAAGACTCCCACTGACATCCCATTTCTGTTAGTTAAAATATCTGAGAACACACTCTAATTACTGCCCTCATTAGTTGCACTGCACAGTACAGCAGCTGGGCACGTGTCAGGCAGTTTAGCTATTAGCTGTAGCAAACAGAACTAACTAGACACGGTATTGCTCTTGCATTGCTCTTTTGTGGATCAGTACTTAGCCAGAGCTACAGAGTCATCCTATTAGTAAAACAAGAAAAACAAACATATGGACACTGAAGGACACTGTTTGTACAGGCAGACTTTGAATAATATACAGTAAGTATAATGTGTGACCTAAAAAAGTTCTTTCATGCAGCTCTTCATTGCCTTACCTTACATGTAGTTAATGAAATGCTTAATTTTCTTCATATGAGCAGCTTGCAGCTTAAAACTGAAGACTCTAATAGTAGCAATGATCAAAATAATAAAAGTGCATTAGAATAGGACTGTTCAGAAATCTGAAATCATGAGAACTGTAAAGCAGTTAATGAAAAGAGACCCTCTTCCAGAGAACTTATAATTTGATAAGAGTAATAATAGACTTTTGTAATGCCCATAAAATCAGTGGAGGTATAAGACACAGCAGCAGCTGCCTCATTCAACATTAGTTAATTTTATGCATGTCTCATGTTATGTTATATCAAGAGGTTTTTGCATATTTAGCCAATTAGAACATAATGGATGACACAATGAGATAACTTTACTGACTGCCAGTTATATCTGTCTATGGATAGCTAGGTAAGCAGATAGACCAACTGAATGAACATTTCTATGCATCTCGGGGGATGTAACTCCCTACTTCTCAGGAGCTCCCAAATTGTGTTGTATGCAGTGAGTTTTGCACATATGTTCTTGAACACACAGGCTTTTTAATCACATAACTCAGACCAGTGTCAAACTATACATTTTCGACTGATTATAATGGCCATCTTGATCTCAGAAGAGTCTGAAAACAGTAGCACAATTACCTTGTTTGTGCACAGACTGGAATATTTTTTTCATTCAAATAACATTTCATTGATCTTCAGAACCTATTAATATGGTCATTGCTTCCATTAATATGATATCTGTATCTATAAATAGTTGAAATAGATGTTTGTAAATTAACTGGAAATGTGTATCTAGATACCTAATCTGATCACTGAAGGGTATTTTTTTTCTTTTTATAATGATCTGTTCTTCACCTGTCTATCCAGACCGTCAAAATGTAAGCTTAGATAAAAACAAATGGACCATTTTTAAAATATTCTTTTTTTTGAAAATAGAAATCTTATTGTTTAGTAGTGTGTGATATCTAAATTGATTTTACCTCTGCAGATTAAAAACTATACAACTGGAAAGGTAAACTTGTTGAAATAATATGAATGTTTTTATAAAGTCTTTAAGTAGAAGGCTATAGTATTTATAGGCTTGTGTTTTAGAAAAGTTATGTATTTTATAATTTGTCTTTTTATTCTTTTATCTAGATAATACTGCGACAGTATTAACCAAAAGAAATGGGTTTCGAAGACAGGAACAGTCTGTTTTCTACCTGCCAATATTCATAGTGGACAGTGGATCACCCTCCCTTAGTAGCACTAATACTCTCACCATCAGGGTCTGTGACTGTGATGCAGATGGCATTGCTCAGACGTGCAATGCAGAAGCTTACATCTTGCCTGCAGGACTTAGCACTGGAGCCCTGATAGCAATATTGGCTTGTGTCTTGACACTGCTAGGTATGTCTTCTTTCTGTTACCTTTGTTTTCCATTCAATGCATCATAGAAAAAGATACATGCATATAAGCTTCAACATTCCCCTCCACCCCGATTTCTGTGAACTGGAGCAGATAGTACTCAAGAAAGAGCAGCATTTTGCATCATTAGCTCAAAAAAACCCCCTTTGGATTGAGATTATCGATTTAGATAGCTTGTTTCTATATCAAGCTGCCTCCAGACAGATATAAGAAATAGCAATAAAAGAAAAAAAAATGACTTGCATCAAATTTATTATTTATATATATAATTTATTATGTATTTATTATTTAAAAGATAAGACAGTTTATGGAAGCATTTGGTTTAGCATACTCACCATATAACCAACATCAGTGTATCCGTTTTCCACAGCCATTACAGTTTTTAAACGTTTATTGATTTGCATAGAACAAAAGATATTCAGAAAATATAGCAGATGCAATTTACTGCTAAGAATCATAATTAACTGACATCATCTACAGAGTGATCTTTTGTTACTTCTGCAAATGGTAGCACAGCTGGATTTTATGTTGAACATTGAAACTGCAACTAGATAAAAGGCATTTGAAAAGAGTGGAATGGTGTCAACATCCTAGTTTGCCTAGCATTTCTCATGTAATACCTAGTCATTAAACAATAAATGGGAAAGTAAGGGGTCAAATCAAGAAATAAAGATGAAGGATAAGGTAAGCAAAAGTGAAGTTTTGCTTTTTCTCTGAAAATTCATATGTTAACAAGGATATCCAGTTTAGCACATAAGAATTTTCCTCAGTGTTGCTATCAATGAAGAAATTTTTCTATTCCCTATCTCTGCATACCAATCTAAGGAAAGGGAGAAGACCACTTATGTTGGTGCAATCCCAGTGGTGTTTTATCTGCCACTCTTATCAAAGTAATTTGGATAGGTCAAATCAAGAGACTCGTGTCCAAACTTCTGTTCATGGCAGCACTTCTACCCCGTATAGATATGTCTTCTTTCTCACTCTGGTTCATGTCGCTGGAAAACATTAGAAGGAAGTGTTCCTTCTGCTAAAATACTTCTAAAGGACTCCAAAAAGGAAAAACCTGTTTCATACTTTTTTTACAGAGTAATAAAAATCACTACCTCTGCAATGAACTCAACCAACTCACCCAGTAGCTATATATACATATAGGAGGTGGCATTTCTAAAGTTTTCCATCTCCGTGACATAAAAAAAATCTAACACCATAAGACTTTATTCTCGCTCAACACATGGTTAGGCCTAGGTTTAAGAAATGGAAGGGAATTATTGCCAAAAGTTTTAACGAACCTTTTTAAATACCATTTTTCTAGTAGCATTTCTAGCCAATTTCTGTACACAAATGAACTTTATTTGGACATGAAGCTAAATGTTAGAGTTCAAAAAGATATAAAAATATTTCCTTATATCAACTGGCATTAGTATCAGTGAAAAAACACCCTCTTTAAACTTTAGTCCAATATACTTAGGAATAAAATTCCTGTAACCATAGCAATTCATTTGATCCTGAAATGAAATGTCACTATTTTTGTTATATATGAGAAGGGAGTTTCTGAAAATTGCATGGGGAACTGCTGTAGGTACCTTGTAGCTTGATCTGGTCATAAACTTGACTTAAATAGAAGCAGTAGGATTTCAAGAAGACCATTGCGTAGAGACATAGCATGTTGGCACCAAATAACTTGCTTATTTTACTTGGTATACCAGGGGTCGAATACAACCAGTAAACACACAAATTTGAGATTTTATTCCACTTATTGTTAAAGTGTTCTGAACAAGGGTTTGGTAAAAAAATCTTGCATATTACCACCTCACCACTGATTTTATTTGTCAAAGACTTTGGGTTTCCAATGTCTTCTGTCTGAAGGCATCAACACTTTTTATCCAAAAAAGACATTTGTATGTGCCATCATCACTTCCAGCCTAAACTGTTCCTTTTGAGTACAGTTCAAAGCTGCAGGAACAGGTTAGGCTGTGTTTGTATGGTAACCCTGGCTTTGAGTGTTGCATTTTGATACTGTATGCTGTTTTAGTCTCAGCCACATGTTCACAAGGAAGAGGTACTTAAGCATCACTGATTCCCAGTGAAACCCAGCTGCTAGTCTGGTCCCAGAGCCTTTCTTCTTCTCTCATTTTCTCCTAGAGTATGTTTTCTGGGAACAGCTGCGGTTCCAGGACTGGGACAAGAGATGCATGTTTTTGTGTAAGACTTTATCAGTGAAAAGGGATACAGTCTACTGGATCAATATCTTTTCCTAACTCAAGATTAACACGCAGTGCAAATCCAGTCACATTAATCAATGTCATCTTAATGTGGGTGCCAATTGTAAAGCAGAGAAAGCATGAAATTTGCATAGAATGAGTACATCCATTCTGTCTAGAATTCTCAACCAGCTCTTACTTTCTCAAAGTTAGTATGATATACTTTTTATCTTGCCCCATACATGCCTATGGCTGGTATATAACTATTAATCTTTACCAAGACCAGATTGTCTCAGTGGAATTTCTTAGTGTTACTACTTTTATTTAAGAAACCAATCATTTTTAGATAAGCACAATGTTTTCACTAACTCTAAGAAGGAAGAAAATTATTAAATCACACTCCTTTATGAAAATTGCATATATAGACTAATATAGACTAGTATAGACTAGGTATAGATTATTTTTTCAAAATAAAATCATTTTTAAAAGTCAAAAACATTTAAAAACAAATTCTCTTTCAATCTTCATACTGACTGATGGAGTTTAAGCTGTAATTTTTATTTTACAAGAAAATTCTAGTACTTTTTTAATTTCACAAAGCAGCTTTCCAATTATGAAGTAAGGCTAAGTTTTACAGAAAGAAAAAAATCTAAAAAATAGTAAAAAGCATATGAAAAGGCAGTTTTTTTAATTTTGGACTGCACATAATTTTGAAGAAAGTAAGTAGGAATTTTTTAACTTTTCTGAAAATTATATGGTAATTTAATTCAAGGTAATTTGTTTTTCAGTTAGCATGTTCCAGAAACAGTAATTGCTATTGTAACAACATCTCAGCATAAAATGTTTACATAAAATCACACAAGCACAATATTCACCTGTAGAGAACCTAATCACATTTGAGAGGTTAAGTATTTTCTTTGTATTGATTATATTGAAAGCTAGATTGGCACAATACTGTTTTGTTATTTTTGTCTTTCATATTTCTGAAGGTAATTTATTAGTGTCACCTATTTTCTTAGAAAGACTGAAGAAAATTTCCTATTGGCGTAGCACTATAGTTTATGAGAATAATATGTTGATAAGACTTGAAAATACAGCTTTAAATATTTTTTTTTCAGTTGAAAGACAGCAAATCTGTTATCATTTTCAAAATACCTGCAAAACCCAAATTAAATCAGAACACATAACTGTGATTTGTAAACAAGAAGAAATAGTTTGAGTCATAAGGATCCTAGTCTCTTAATAGGTATAACGTGTACAGAATGTGACTGTGTAATATTGTATGGTTTGGCCTTGCAGTTTTAAAGTGATAAATGTGTAACGGGAAAACAATTAACTAGAGGTACTGAAAGCAACATTTCCAGGAAGTGGTTGAGTATGAAATGCAGCAGCTGTTTTTGGAAAGTTAGGGAGCTGATTAGGGTCACTCAGTGTGGGCATTTAAAGGTCGCAGTCACTTTGCAAATATCATTCCAAACTGATTAAACAACAGGTATAAGTGAAGCTTGTTAAGTGGGAATTAAATTCAAGTTTCCTGAGTCTTGGCCTCTGTAATCCCCAAACCTTATCTGACTGTACTGGCAACTGCAAGGTATAACTAAATAGGTTATTAGTGCACTGCTTGTATGGCTGAGGATCTCCAATCATCAGCTTTATGAATCATGACACACCTAAGGCATAAACCAGTGTGCAGATCTGCTCGCAGCTGATGTGGCTTATTGCTATAGTAAATTCCTGGCTTAGGGGTGTAGTGTATACAAAGCATGGTAATGCTTGTGATTTAGCTCTGTGCCTTTCTGTACAGCTCTGCATGTAGTCTTCTCCCTCAGGGCGTCTCACGACTTTTATGGCTTCCTTACAATTATGTTGCAGTTGCCTTGAGTACAAAAGGGAAAATTAATACTAAACCAGAGAAATATGTTCAGCTGAACTAAACCTGACTCATTACCAGATCATACCAAAATGGAAATTTCATGGTAATTCCAGAAAGCACGCTGAGAAGTGGCAAAGCAAAAGTCCACTCTTGCATTCAAAGGTGTTTGCTAAAAGACTGATTTGGGCGTACTGAAACTACAAATATTATCATTAAATGTATACTAAATACAAGGATAAAACTGTGTATTACCACAGCTAATATAAAGACAAATCTTTTTTTCTTGGCTATTGTAACTATTAAAGGAAATCAATATTTTTAAAAAAATCAAGTAAACCAGAAGAATTAAAAGGTTAATTTAAATCTGTCTTTGTTAATTCTGGTTATTAGTTGCTTAAAATATCGATTAATTTGTTTATTTGTTACATCACATACAAAATCTGTATTGTCATCTCCGTAGTATAAGTTGGGTGTATCAGTATGGAGCCAATCTAGTGCCCTTGATGTGCAATACACATGTGCCTAAAGGTTTTCCACTGTATTATTTCTTCTCTAAGAATCATGAAATTAGGTTTTTAGAAATTCAGAGAGTCCCTAATTACTAACTTAATCTCTGCTTTTGTCATAAATGTAGGAAATAAAAACCCACCATGACTTAATGAGAAATGAAAAAACTTTAAAATCATTTGCATTTGATTTAGATAGCAGTGAAAATTGTTTAGGACTTGTATTCATCTCTGCAGCTCCTGCAGTGCAGCTAAAGCTTTGTTCATTTAGAGGTTAAACTTTATTGTTCATGGCTGTTGGAAAGACTGGAAATTAATAATCTTATAAAGTCATCTAAATGCTAAAATATTTAACCTTTAGAAAGACTCCATATTTTTCTTGGCTTCAAGCAAGTGTGAGAGGTAGAAGGAACACTATATAAAACATTCATTGTATCTTGATTTTTATTGTACCTTTAGGCAGACCTTCCTACTAAGTTTCTTATTTTACACTTATTAGCATGTCTTTAACTTTCAACATGAAGTATGTTAAGAGGGACAGTAGAGTAAAAATGCATTTACACTTGAGTAAAGTAAATTATTAGCTGCTTAATTTTATGGCAATAAAAATGTAGCAGTAAATGTTAAAAATAATAATTATGAAGTTATGTCAATAGAAATCTTGGTTTAAATATCTATTTGTATTGTCAGCAAGCTAATTTCATTTTAAAAAATCTTTTACAATAAGGAAACATATTAAGAGTGGAGTGCAATTTTATCTGGTGACAATTTTATATTCTCTGCTGTATAATTTACAGCTTAATTTGTATTATACAAATATCAGAATGTTTTGAAATTCCACAAATGTCACTTTAAAGGTCAATATTTCATATTATTAAACTGCTTATGTAAATATTGTTCAAAGCAAAATGCCCCAAACTAATGGCTTCTGAATTCAATACATAAAGGATGAATCAGGTGGATGCCAGGGGCAAAAAATGTGAAAGGCTGATGCTGATTATGTAGTACTATAGTCACAAGACATGTATTAGTGGATGGATTATTGGATATATGCTTGGTAGCTACTGAGAAAAGAGGAAAGAATTGTTGCCTAATATATTTTTCAAAAAATTTAGGGCAAAAGAAATGTAGTTGCAGTTTTATTTTTAGATGTGTGGCTCCGAAGGGAAATAAAAATAGTGCAGAGAGGCATCTCCAGCTTTAGCCAGTTCTAAATATTACCATAATATCTGTAGACAGCTTTCTTGCTTGTGCAAGTTACTGGTTTATTCTAGCCAAGTTGTCCTTATATTAAGTCATTCCTCATAATGACTAGATTGATACTGATTTTAAGATTCCTCCATGAAAAGGCTTTCAAGAATGATAGTCCTGCATCATGCAGTTTGTGGAAGCCACTTTTGGGGAGTACCTAGGGAACCTCAATCTTAATTTTATATCTATCACTTTTTAGCTTTTGCTTTTCCATATGTTTCTACAACATTTAATTGGCATTGTAAGACTGAAAATGTTATCAGTGCACATAATCACATATTCTTAACATTAAAAATAATCATAAAATCAGAAGAGGTTAATTAAATGTGGAGTGACACTTTTCAATATACTGTTATTTTTACAATCACAGTTATGCCTGTGATTTCCTAGGACTGGCATTAACTCAGCAAATGTTATCCAGATGCTGCAATATAGTATTAATTATTTTCTAGGTGGATGATTCACACTCCATCATGTCTCACAGATGGGTGCAATATTCATAGTATTGGTTCCATAGTTTGTGTGTCACCAGTGATGTTTCTCTACCAAAACTGTATTAGAACAAGAGGAGCCTTGAGCTAGTTTCTTGCAGTGCTTTTGCCTAGTACTAACTGCAGTTCAGTATTAGCTTTCAAGCTGAAAGAAACTTTAAGAGCTAAAATTAAATAACCAATTACATTTGCAGTACTGGTTCATCCAGTAAACTCTAGCCCTAGCAGTTCTCATTAGATATAAGGCATAAATTTCAAGTGCAATACTTTGCACTTTTCAGGAAAGTGAGATCTTATATAGAGATGGTTTTATTCCATGACTTAAGACAGTCTTATTTTACACATTGCTTAAAAATTCAGTGTTCTCCTATATAAATTCTTTTTAACTTTATTTTTATTCAGCAAATATTGGTGCAGTGACTTTAGTTCAGTCACTTCCCAAACTACATTTTTTTTATTTCTGTTCCATCAATTTATGAATATGCTTTTACCCCTTGGGCATTTAAGGGTTCAGGTAAAGGTATTTTTTTTTAATTATTTTTTTTTAGTTGTTATAATTTTTTGGTTTGAGATTGTCATAGTCAGACAGAACTAGTACTGAAATTTATGTTTAGAAGACAATATATAATATTAGAATTCGAGACGAAGATGCTATACCTAAATGATTTGGGAAATAGATTCTTTAGTGTCTGAAAAGCTTATGGTTTAAACGTTATTTCACAATCTGCTAGGTTTCACATCTAATCACATAAATTGCTTGCTATTTCCTTTGGTCTTTGCCATATAAATTAATAAGTGCTTCCAACATTAGGAAAATACGAGAAAACTTCAGCACTGATAAAGCTCTTGCTTTTCATTTTTCCAGTTCTTGTCTTGCTGATTGTCACCATGAGGCGACGGAAAAAAGAGCCCCTCATTTTTGATGAAGAGAGAGATATCAGAGAAAACATTGTCAGGTACGACGACGAGGGTGGTGGAGAAGAAGACACAGAGGCTTTTGACATGGCTGCCTTGAGGAACCTCAACATCATGCGGGACACCAAGACCAGAAGGGACGTGACACCTGAGATTCAGTTCTTGAGCAGACCAACTTTTAAAAGTATCCCAGATAATGTCATTTTTAGGGAATTTATCTGGGAAAGACTAAAAGAAGCTGACGTGGACCCCTGCGCGCCACCCTACGACTCCCTGCAGACGTATGCATTTGAGGGGAACGGCTCGGTGGCAGAGTCACTCAGTTCTTTAGATTCCATCAGCTCAAACTCTGACCAGAACTACGATTACCTCAGTGACTGGGGCCCTCGTTTTAAAAGGCTTGCAGATATGTATGGGACTGGACCAGACTGCTTATACTCCTAGCCTTGGAACCTTTCTCTGAAAATGCACTGAAGAATATTAAAACAGAAAACTCAACCTGACAGACTGAGGAAAGTTGTAAATATTTCTCCATTTTTAAAATTTTAGGTTTTTTCCTTTTTTTTTTTTTTCTTCTTCTTTCCTTGGTGGAACATATCTTCATTAGACCTGTCCTAGGGACTGCACTGACCACACAGAATATGAGCGTTTGGTGGCATTTTTGATAAAATGAAATGCTCTGCCACGTTCAAATAGATAGCAACCCTCAAATACCTGCAGAGGCAACTCACTTTCAAGAGTGTGTTACACAGTCACCTCAGTGAGCTGGTGATACTCTGTAGATGCCTTCACAGTATTGCTATATTGAGAATGCAGAGTCTCTGTTTTAAGAAGAAAGAAATTTTAAAATATATAACTAAATACAATATCAATAAAAATAATACAGTTCATGGTATTTGCACAGGCAAGGGTTTTTTAGCAAATGTTCTTTACTCTGTGCATACAGCTTACCAGAACAAAAGCAGAAGAACTGATGAAAACAAAGAAAAGCCCAGGAAATATATTTTTTGTGTTTCTCCCTGCTTGTTTTCAGAGCTATTTAATTAGAAATCTCTTTAATTTTCTGAGTAGTTTTTGAGAAAATATTGTTATTACTAAGAAATTCCACAGTGTGTCATCAACTTACGAAGTAGACGAAAATCGACATAAAATGATAAATATGGACATGTAATCTTATGGCTGGGAAGTTTTGTGATGCCCATGTAGGTATAAAAAAGGTGTTGCTATCTATTTGCTATTTTTTATTCTCTCTTCTGATTTGTACAGGAGAATTTATCCTTTTTTATTATTGTTTGACATAAAGTGTTGTATTTATTTTGGAACTCCAATCTCCACTAAATTCAGGTCCATTTTACTGCCTCATGGTTTTAGACTTGTCAGAACATGCTGATTTTTCTCCAATCTCAGATAAATGTAGGAAATGAAGCATGGAAGTGGAGAAATTACAGTAAACAATGCCACCCACCATTCACCCACAGAAAGGAGAGCAGCTCCAAGGATGTGCAGTTGTTCTTCTGAGCCATTACAAAGTCTGAGACATTTAAAGAGAATATTTGTACATTCAATTTTTTGAAAGAAGACTGCAGAGGTAGCTGGGAGTGTCTTTAATGCAAGATTTAATTTTCAAGGTTAAACATGCTGTAGACTTCAAAGACTGTAAACACCTTGCTTTTCTCCTTCCCCTTCTCTTTTGCTGCTGATGAATCACAGTAAAAGATTTTTCTATTTCTTTCTTATGTTAAGCAATGTAATACTATTAACTTCAGCAGTCATCTTTAGATCCTGCTGCACATAAGTATTATTTCCCCAAGGTGTTAACTCACTACACATAATTTCTATGCTCGTTCAGGAGTGCCAAAACAGAAGGAAAACTATAGTTGGTTAATATACTGTATGATTTTGAAGTAGGATTTCTTAGAATAAGACAACTTTTTTATGATTCTGACAATATTTATACTTCATCTTTCATGATTTATTACTACATAATAAGGCATATATTCAAGTAAAATAGTGGGTTTAGGTATTCTTTCAGATTTTTTTTTTTTGTTTTAGATACAATGTAGATGAGTTCCTAAATTAGAGTCTGTTCCTGCAAATTTTTTGCTTGTACCTAACTTGAAATGACTTGACCTGCCTACAATTACTGAAAGGTACACAGAATTGTTTACAGAACTGTATTTGTGAACAGAAGGTGCTCCACAGAGGATGATGCTCACTCTAAAAGTACTTCTTTCTGAGAGAAGGATTCTTGTACTGAAATTCTAATGTATGAGTGATGTGAGGCTGGGGGATGGGAAATTATCATTAAGGCTTTGTAATTTTTGCAGCCCAGCATTATAAATTAACTATGTGAAAGTGGCCTTCAGCTCCAACAGAAAAGAAAAATAATTTTAATCATCTACAACATAATTTGAGTTACATTTTAATAGACAATCATTGTTTCATAATTCAGTAGATTTGCTTCTAGTTGTATGAAATATATATATATAGGCATATATATATATATGACAGATTTTGTAATGGAACTGAAAGATATCGTCCATGACTTTTAGTCATACATGTAAGATTTTCAATAAAAATATTAAAAAATAGAAAAAAAAGAACCATGTGTATACAGTTTAATGAGAGCGAGATATGCTGCAGGATTCAAGCAGGTATTAAGTCAGCAAGCTTGTGAGAGAACAGTTTTTCATTAATCTCCTTGTTCTTTGTGGGAAGATAATTCATGCATCTGGATTAAAATGTCAAAAATGCTGATTTTAGCACATAACATTCACAGGAGATTTAAATGTGGTTTAGAGTAAACAGCCCAATTTCCTTGGTTTTCCACCCTCTGTATCTGTAAAAACTCAAAAATCTCAACTATTAAGAAACTATGTTAGGGTGGGGGTTTTTTGGTGTGCTTCCTACAGGAAAAAAAAAAAAAAAAGTTTTATTCTGATACCGTAGAAACGCTTGCATATATATGTTTTCTGTTGCACAGTTCTAATCTAATTCTAACTTCTAATTAAGTTTACAGTTATGTTCTACATGCTTGCCTACTGATAGTGTTGTTGCAGTAAGAAAGGAAGGTGGAAATCCCTTGTGTTTGAGGACAGATATTACTCTAGAATATACATAGGGTGTGCGTAATATACACACTATATAATGCTCGTCAAAAATTACTGCAATTGTAGGTTTTTACAGTTTGTAATCCAATTCAAATTCTTTCATTGAGTCTTATTTGTGTTGCATAGCTGGATGGCATAAAGTATATTCTACTGACTAAATAATATAAAATATAATATAAAATATTTTCTCTGTCCTGGAAAGGTAATGAAATTATTTGGGAAAATTAATTAGAACAGCCCCTTAAACAGACTTCCAATCATATTTATTTTTTTAACTTTCTGAACAGCTTCGGTATAAACTAGAGGCCATAAATCCTAGATAAAAAATATGTCAAACATAGAAATCACTCCCATCTTATAGTGGAATAACTTTGTCTTTCCTTCTGCCATATGCCAATTGAATAGGCTTATTTTAAATTGAGAATTCCAAGAATCTTGAAAAGTGCACAGTTTTAAAAGTGCTGCTAGAATACCCTTACATAAAATTAAGCTGTTTGAAGAAGACTCGTGGTAAAGACTTCTTCCTCTGTTTTGACCAGTTGATTTCAGTTCCTCTTGGAATCAATGGACTTCAAGAGACTCAAAGAATGGACATTCTGATTTATATTCCTTATTCAAAAGAATAAATTTAGTGTACTTTAGGTTATATTCCCACTAAGACATAGCACAGGCCCTCCTAAGCCTTCTAATTCTGATGGTTGTTTAGTACAATCACTGTAGGTGACTGCACAAAGTTCACTCATGAACTTTGATGGTACCAACTCAAATTTCTCATACTCCCTAAGAATTATGGGAGGGAAAAACCCAACTTCCTTTTTACTCTTTCTTTTATTTGCAGTTTCGAAAGGGAGAGGGACGATTCATTACAATGTACCTTTTTAGTTAAGGTCTTTTCTCAATTTTTTTTTTCTGTTTACCCTTTTAGTGCTAGCAATAATTAATAGAAATGTTTCCTATATTTTTACTTTTAGACATTTTGGATGAAAACATATTATAAAATATATCTTATTTTTTATGGACAGATACTCTTGTATGATATAAAGAAAAGTCATAGTTTGTCATTCTGAAAAGGAAATAAATATGAATATAAATCAAGCATCCAATTACATTGGCTTTTAAGATCCTTAAAGAGTTGAAAGGTGAGCACGATTACCTATATCAAATCTAGTATTAAATTCTTGGTTGCAGTCTGTCATGTGACTGATTTTAATTTTTTGCATATAGATTATTTTTGTTCTACTTTAGAATCTATGCAGAGTAATACTGCTTTGAGGCATTGTTGGCTTCACCTCATTAGCGATAGACGGGGTCAAGTATATTTTTACTGGTCTGTGACACTAAAAGCGAATTGCTAAAGACAGAAATGTCACTTTATTTGACAGAAATGGGAAAGTCTACAAGGTACCAAGAGCTCTAAAAATTGCTTTCTTAACTATGCTATCCTTAAGTCTGCCAGAACAACAGCTAAGTTTTTCAGATACATCCTAAGATATGTTTTCACCCCTGAATGATTTCTTCCATACCAATAATTATTCTTCAGTTCACTTTTAATGAAGCTAAAAATATATTTTTATTATATATTTTATTGTTTATTACTTTTTCTTTACCTTATCATTCTATTCTCATATTCTTTTCCGATTATGTCTTGAATGCCTAGATCATTCTACCTCAGACCTGTGAAGTTGTTGTGGTTTGGGGGGGGTGAGGTTTGCTTGTTTGTTTATGTTTGTGTTAGTGTTAAAATTGGTATTCTTGCTGGAATGCTTGTATTTCAATGACCTGACCTTTTTCATTGAATTTATTTGGTTTGTTTTCCTTTGGTCAAAACCATGCCGGCCATGTATATCCTGACTTTTCTTCTATTTTGACTCCAAACCCACCTTTTACTGTACTGTTAATAGCAAAAAGAAAGTCCTGAGGTGTACCCTCTCTTTGATGTCAAGAAGCTGTGAAGAAAAAGATAAACAGAGGATCAACAGACTGCAATGAAACTAATCTGTCATTTTCTTGAAACACAAACTCATAGATTCCATACTTAAGCTGGCATTAACACCATTCAAATAAAGACATGGATCGCAGCTTGAAACTTTAAAATATTCCAGCATTATTATCAGCAATTTTTACACATTTAATGAAATCATATTTTAGAATTGTCAAGGTTTGTTACCTGTAACTTTGTTTCATCATAATTATTTATGTCATGATGTAGATGCACAGAAGAAGAAGGAAAAATTGCAAAGTAAAACAGCCCCAGTACAAGAAGCCCCTATGTTTGAGTCTGACAAGAATATTCAGTCTGAATTTTAATGTCCTTCTATTTCCTTAATGATCAGGACATCCTTTATTATTGTCATCAGACTGTCGAAATTTTATGGAGAAAGAAGTGTTTACTGATTCACCAACAAAATGCTAGGCAAAATCTTGAGCATGTTGAAGTACTTGGCAGATCTCCTTATGGCTTTCAAGAGGTGTCAAGATTTATACATTGCAAGCGGAGACAGATAAATGATCATTTACACTGTCAGGATGGGGGATTGCTGCTTTGAGTTGGATACCATTTCTTTTTACACAATCTCTTCTAATGACTTTTCTGTATTGGAAGACACAGCCCCTTAGAATGGTAATGCATGCAGCTTTATAGGATGTTTTAATTTCATAAGCTACTTACTTACTACCAGTAGCATAGTACACATTACCTTGCTGTACTGAGTAGTACCCCTGCTCATAAAGATAATTTCTGCACATGCTAAATACAGTGTTAGGAAGGGTTTATATTTGATGAAATATCAATGGTAAAATACTGCCTGGAGAACAAAACCAAACCAAAGCAAAACACAAACATTTTCTCATTAAAATAAATAACATACGGAATTTTCAGGCTATCAGAATTAAATTATTATATTTCCCTCAGACTGTGGGACTATCTGTAGCTTTACTGACTTCAGTAACTGCAGGTACAATTCAGATTAACCATAATCTTCTCAATTCAAATATTTTGCCTTACTGATGCTTCAGATTTTGTTAAATCACAGAAAAGGGCTGTAGCAAAAAAAAAAAATGACAGGTTAAAAGTATCAAGTTTTTTCTGTGTTTTTGTTTTTGTTTTTGTTTTTGTTTTTTTTTTTATAGATGATCAACTGATGTGAAAAAATAATGTTTTACTGAATTACAATTTCCTTTCAGGAAATAATATTTCCATCCTGTGAAACGTTATTTTCCAACAGTCTACAGTTCTTGGCCTGGCCTGGCCTCATCTTCTTATTCAAATATAAAGAAAGAGTTATTAAGGGGAGAGATTAAACACATAACTGATAATCTTAATAAGAAATTTTCAGTTGGTCAAGACATGAAGGTTTCCTGTTCTAGATGTGAGGAACACATGCATAAAGCTCTCATAGGACATGCAACCTGTTGATGAAGCTACTGATTTTTTCTGGATATTTGTTCATGTTTTTTCCCCTTCTGTTTCTAGTAGTTTGTGATTTGACTTATCTTTAGTGGAAGTTAGTATGTGATAACAAAATAAAATAATATGATAAAATGATAGTTAGTAGCAGCTGATCATGAAAAATAGGTTAATATAGTATGTACAACATATTTTTTTTATTGTAGCTTAGTGCAGGTCAATATACTTTATTGAGACTCAGAGATTAATGTAGACCAACTTGGCTCATTCACATAGCATCTCCGTGAAGGGCTTTTAATTCAAATAGCTACTATAAAATGTGCAGTTATTTAAATATTCAGAAGCCACTGTTCCTTGGAAATAAACAGAGGTAATTAGCAATCCATACTTCTTCTCTTTCTGGGAACAGGTAGATATATGCAGAGAAGTCAGAAAGGGCAAGCTCTTTGAATTTAACACCTGTAGTGAATATGGATGAAAATCCAATTGACTTCAACTGAAAGCAAGATAGGAACCCAGAAGGCATCTGTCAATGGTGCTCATTCTAATCAGTCTTGTCTCACTGTTTTGGGAATGATGAAGCAGTATGACATGACTCTCTTAGCTGCATTGTCCAAGAGAGCAAAGTTTATTACTCTTAATCTTCTTTTATAGACAAGTTTGAGAAGGTCTGAGAGGTAAAACTCTCATTGGTCATTAAAGCAACACGTCCACCATCCTTGGTTAAATGTAACATCACTCCTTGAGTGTTTTCCTAAACACCACCTGCAAAGACTGTTGTCCTTTACCAAGCACTGTTTGCATTCTTTCTTATGCTTTCTCAGACCAGAATGAGAAGCCTGTGTGTGACTTAGTTTCACACAAGCTCTGTGCTCCCTGCCTGCTTTCAGCATCTATTCAGTCTAATTTAGCTAATTAACGTCATTTGTGTTAAGAGTTGTCTTTAGTTTGGGCTTTGTGTAATGCAAAAAAACAGCAACTTCAAAACTGAAAATATTTATGTTGCCTTCTGATCAATTTTGCATTCATGAAGAGGTAAAGCAAACACAGACCAAAGCTGTGGCTGACTGGCAGT